ATGGCCAAATGGAGGGTGCACCCTCCAAGGTGAAGAAGCCGTGTCTTTTCCAGGAATGAGTAATGCAAGGCTTAGAGGAATTAGGTGACTGACACAAAGTCACACAGCTAGGGGATAACATAGTCAGGTCCCCAGCTCAAGGCTCTTCAGAGCCTTGAAGGATGCTGTCAGTGTGGCGGCATCATAAGGCTCCTGAGGGGTCCTTAACGGCCCCCCTGTTTCCTTGCCCTTAGGACTCCACCCTCTGGCTGGTGGTAACAGAACACTACTGGTCTTTTGGACAGGACACCAGCATACAACAGGTGCGCCCAGTTCTGCTGTGAACCCACTATGCCTCGGTGAGTGAGCCACTCTACCTCCCTGTAAAACAGGCGCCAGAACACCTTTCATCCACCTAGCTCCGTGTGGGAGCAGCCCAAAGCCTTGGTGCCTGAAGCCCACAGGGTCTCCATGGACGACACAGCTCCTGCCTCCCCAGTTCTGTATCTCTCTTCCTGCAGCAGCTGGCAGCTCCCCAGTGAGAAGAACCCCTATTCCTGCTCAGGATTAGTTCTGCTTAGGGAGGTGCTGTCCCAAAGAGTACTGCCCAGAGTAGACAAATGACTCCAGCCAGGTGGAGTAACATGGCCTCACAGGCTACAGACCATGCAGGTTGAGCCAGGCTGAGGGTCTGCCTGAAGCAGATGTTAGTTGGGCTTGTGTTTCTGTCTCCAGCCATCAGTAGAGGGCTGCCTGCTGATGGACTGGCTCAGCAAGCTCCAGTATAAAGTCATGAAACACTATAGTTCTGGACCAATCAACCATCCTAACTTTCTTCAAACTGGCCAGCCCTAAAGTAGGGGAGGAGAACTCTACAGATAAAGACCTTCCCCCCCCCCCCCCCGTCGGCTGAGTCGTCGCCCCCACCCGGCTTTATAGAGGGTCTTGTTCTCTGAGTGTGTGTGTGTGTGTGTGTGTCTCCTCATACCCCAACCACCTTTCTTATTTGCTAAGTCTGTCTGGGGATCGTGAGATTCTCTATGGATACTTGTTGCACTTCAGATTTATTTTCCCTGCCTTTTAATTCCTTAACTGACAGAGAAAATGAACCCAATCAATACCCCTAGACTGTATCTTTTGGGGGTCTTATCTCAGATTTCTTCTGAAGACTACATCATTTATAACCTATCCCAGCCTGGTTCACAAACCAGAAGGGATCTTTGACCAAGATGTCCCATGGTTCTTTTGTGAGGAGGACAGGGAGGTTGAAATAGGCTATCCTGGTGTAACCTTGGCTCTCCTAGAGCTCACTCTGTAAACAGGCTGGCCTCAAACTCAGAGATCCATCTGCCTCTGTCTCCTGAGTGCTGGGATTAAAGGCGTGTGCCTCCACAGTACCGGCTCATTATACAGTTCCCATATGTCATGTTAAAATTGTTTTCAAGTAAAAAGCAAAAACAAACAAAATCTAAGTTACCAGGCTCAATTGAGATCACAGACCCACAGTGCATTTTAAACAAAGACAGGGGCTAAGATCACCAGGTGTAGGATGAATTCCTGTCTTTGCTTGGCTGATTTTTCAAAGTCAAGGTCCCAGGTAACCCAGGTTGGCCTCAAACTCCATGTAGCCACAGATGACCCCAAACTCCTGGTCCTGCTGCCCCCACCGGCTGAGTACTAGACTTACAGGCACACAACCACCATTGACAACAGAGACCTTAAAGGCCCGTTGGTACCAGAGATTCCCCCCTGGAAACCCTGAAAATTCTGGACTCTGTTCTCTGTTGCCAAGCCAGAGGAAGAGAAAACCAAGGCACTTAGAAACTTAGGAGGTTAGGATGAGAAATACCCCAGAGGCTCAGTTCTTTGAACAAGAGTGATCCCCAGTTGGTGGAGCTGTTTGGGGAAGGGGCGCACTGCTTGGAGACAGTGTGCCCCAGGACAGCCTTTGGGGATGTGCTAGGCCAGCGCTCTATCAACTTTCCAGAGGTGTGTGAGAGTCTGTGACCTCACAACCCTTGCCACCAGGGCAAAGACAGAGCATGGGTCCTACACTGCAGCCTCGTAGGGTCCCTTCAGCCAGCTACAAGGCAGCTGTGGGTCACATTGGGCTAGACTCAGACAGCCTGGCCTGGGACCTGATCTCTTCCTGCTGGCCAGGGAGAGACAATGATCTGTGAGCAGCAGGTCCTGGGTCACTTAGACAGCTTTGCAGAGCTGCTGTCCTGGCTACGGGGCAAGCGCTGACAGCCACACACTGCACTGCAGAGCACAGGGCTCGGCATACCAGCACACCCATCAGTGTAATGCTCCCCGAGGCTGCTCCTGGGGGTCTGAAAAGCCCACCAGAAGGAAGTAATCTGAATGAGCAAACGAATTTTATAGATGGAGAAGCCACAAAAAAGGAGGACAGCTGTCCGTGGTCACCAGGCTGACAGGACACATATACAGCCTGTTTCTGGCTGAAGGCACAACTCTAGTGGGCAGGGTTCCCCCTCAGCCCCTCAAGTGGAGTCCCAGGGCTTGGGGAACATGTTTCACTTTTCTGATCTGTGCCATGAAAATTGTAGGATCTGTCAAATAGAGGATTCTGGGAGTGGGCACCTCACAGGGTGGTCTGTTGTTAGAATTCTCCGACATTATGGAGGAAGGGCGTGGTCTAGTGGCCTTAAAGCTAGGGACTGGAATTAACAAGAAAGTACCAGGAGCAGGCTGGAGAGATGGCTCAGCAGCTAAGAGCACTCAGCTTCTCTTGCAGAAGCTGGGGCTCAGTTCCCAGCATCCACTTGGCGGCTCACAGCATCTGTAATTTCCAGTTCTGGCTGATCTAAAGTCAGTGTTCCACCTCTGAGAAGGTGGGTGTTTGGGACAGAAACATTCCTGAGGATAAACATCCACACACACAAAATGCATAAATATTGCTTTCTGAAATGATACTGTAAAGATAAAAAAAATACCAGGTATATAGTATGTGTTTTGTTGATTGTCTGGCCCTCCTGAAAGCAAGCTGTTGTGGCCTTAGACAAGTAGGTAACCTCTCTGTGACATAAGAATGTGTGACTAAGAGAAACTTAGGGAACTAGGCAATCTTTGTCTTCTGAAAGTGAATTCAACTTCAGAAAAGCAGCTAAATTCACGTGGAATTGAGTCTGGTGACTAAGGCCAGAGATCTAGTTGAGAAATGTTCCTTTGAGTTCAAAACAATGTGTAATTATAGAGCCCAGGCCTGCTTGTCCTAAAGCCTACAGTCCAGGAGGCAGGCAGATCAAAGTGCCTGGCACTTATCTGTGTACAGACCTTCTTCTTGTCCCTGTACTGGACTCTCAAAACCCTAGAGTCACCTCTGACCCAGAGCTGAGTCCCCTTCCCACGCCTCAGGCACCAACCCTCAGGTATCACCCTGGGGCTGCCCCTGGGAATTAAAAGGTTGCTGTCAAGGGGAGGGAATTTGAATGCAGTCTGCTCGAGATGACGCAAATAATTACTTTTATTTTTAAACTCACGTTCATTGAGAGTTCGTGCGCGTGTACACACACACACACACACACACGCACGCACCTGTGGGAGTCAGGAGGACAAGCTTGCTGGAGTCATGGCTCCTGCTGTGTGATGGAACAAAAGTCTTCAAGCTTGGCAGGAAGCACTTTTACCCACCACACCATCTTGCCAGTCCTTGTTTTTTGTTTTGTTGTTAAGATTTATTTTTATTAGGTTTTTTGAGGGGCAGGAGAGGTGGCTCAGTGGTTAAAGACCCAGGTTCAGTTCCTAACACCTACATGGTAACGTACAACCATCGGTAACTCTAGCCCCTAGGGATTTGACGCCCTCCTCTGGCCTCTGTGAGCTCTAACATACATTCAAGTAAACATATGCATAATAAATAAATACAAAAACACTCTCAAAAAAACTAAAAACATTACAACTCTTTTTTGAAAATCGTGTGTGTGTGTGTGTGTGTGTGTGTGTGTGTGTGTGTGTGTGCAGGTGCCAAGGGTGCTAGCAGTACCAGATCCCCTGGATCTGGATTACAGGCCATTGTGAGCTGCCCAGCAAGGGTGCTGGGACTGGAACTTAGGCCCTGGGCAAAAGCAGCAAGTGCTCTTGGACACTGAACCCCCTCCCCTGCCAACTTATTTGGAGGCAGGTTTTTGCAAGCAGCCCTGGCTGATTTCCAGCACCCAGCCAGGCCTTTGCTTCCAGAGTGCTAGAATTAGAAGTGTGAACCACCACAGCCAGGTTTTTTGTTTTGTTTCTTAAGATGGGGGAAGTGATCTCGAATTTGTGATCCGCCTACCTCAGCCTAACATGTATTGAAATTATAGGCATATGCTCCCAAGCCCAGTATTACTCATCATCTAAAATATCTAAAATTGTCTGTTAAAGCCAGGTGGTGGTGGTAAACACCATTAATCCTAGCACTCAGGAGTCAGAGGCAGTTGGATCTCTGTGAGTTCGAGGCCAGCCTGGTCTACAGAATTCCAGGCCAGGCTCCAAAGCTATATAGAGAAATCCTGTCTCAGAAAACAAAACAAAACCTGTCAAAATGGCCAAAACGGCTCATACATGGCACTTGCTAATACCCACAAATTAACCACAAATTAATTGACTGTCCCTCACACCTCTGTACACATCCAATAAATAAATGCAAAATTTTAAAAATAAGCATATCTCAGGCTGAATATGTTATCACATGCTGGAAACCCTGGCACTCTGGAGACTGGGGTGTCTCTGCTTCCAGGCCAGCCTGCACAGGGAGACCCTGTTGGGGGGTTGGGGACAACGTGGAGAACACCGTCTTGCCTTCTGTTCTTCAGCACGGGCCTCCATTAACAGGTTACATAGGGAAGGAGTGTGGTACCCTGTCCTTCAGGTTGTTGGGCTGGGGAGAGCTGGGGATCCAGAGCCTCCCCTGGATGCCTGAGTTCATAGGCTGAGCCACTAGAGGTGAGCCTCTAGTCTGAGCTGCTCTGAGCTGAGAAGCTCTGAGCTGAGATTAGCGAGTGAAGAGCACAGGCTGTGAGCTGCAAGGCATTGGAGAGGAGTGACCAGTGACAGGCGACAGGAACACAGGAGTACCATGCCACTTCAGGAGGAGACCCTCCGGGAAGTGTGGGCCTCAGACAGGTGGGAGCCCCGCATCGTCCCATCTGAAACTCAGGTCATAGTTACAGGGCCATGGTGGTGTGGGAGGGAGAAAAAAGCAAGAAGGGCACAATCTGATTTCCTTGTACCCTCAGTGGCCATGAAGAGGACTGGCTGAGCCCGGAGCCCCAGCTGCGCCCCAAGCAGGTATGTTACCAGGCTTGGAGTTTGGAAAAAAGGCACAAAGGTGCCTTGCGGTGTGCACAGGGGAGGGGTTGTATGGGACCGGTCCAGGCCACCACCATCTGCAGCCCTTTACCTGAAGAGCCTAGAAAAAGAAAGTGCGTTTAGGACATGGGGCACGCAGGAGGACTTGGGGGCTTTGGGTCTTGGAAGTGACTATCGTACATATCTGAGTCATCCATAATGAGAAGGGGCTGCAGCATCCCTTGGGATAATCCGAGGCTATTTGTGGCGGCTCCAAGGGATTAAAGGGGGATGGGAGCCCTAGAGTCCCCTTCTCTCCTCGTGACCCCTATTCCACAGCGACCCATCCAGGGACAGAAGTTGAGGAAGAAGAAGTCTGAGACCCCTGAGTCTCCAGTATCCAAGCCCCGAAGAGCTGGAGGTAACTCCTGGGGATGCGCGGGAGGGTGCGGGCCGGGGAGGCTGAAGTGGGGAATCCTGCACTGGGGGCCAGGACCCTGCTCAGCCTGACATCTGGCCCAGCTGGGCGCAAGAAGCTCGAAGAGCCACCGGCAGACCCCATCGAGGCACACACTGCGCCCACAGTCTACGCCAAGTTCCTTCGGGACCCCGAGGCCAAGAAGCGGGACCCCCGGGAAACCTTCCTGGTTGCCCGCGCCCCAGATGTGGGAGGCGGTGAGTGAGGCAGAGAGAGGGAGGGCCGGTGGGAGCTGACCTGGAGAAGCAGGCGTCAAGGCGTCAACCACCTGGGCACACAGAAGGAAACTGAGGCAGCAGAGGTCCAAGCTTTGGCCTTGAGCTACAGCTAGTAGCTGGAGTACCCCAGATGGGGATGATGATGGTGGGAAGGCAGGTGGGGGAAGGTGACAGGGAGGCAGAGCAGGGTGCTTGCCACCGCAACCCAGTGCAGGAAGGTGCAGGAGGTCCAGCAGCATCCCGCAGGTACAGGACCTCTGGAGCCTGTGTTACAAGAGTCTTCTCTCCATAGAAGAAGATTCCGAGGATTCGGATGACGATGATGAAGAAGAGGAGGAAGAGAGGAAAAAAGAGAAAAGCTCTCTGCCTCCCAGGAAGGCACCCAAAGAGAGAGAGAAGAAAGCCAAGGTCCTAGGTCCGCGGGGTAGGTGCAGGGAGCATCCAGGGACCCATGGGCGGGCAAAAAGAGTCCCTGGGGAGGGGTGCGGGTGAGTACCCAAAGTTCCCTGGCACCTCGTGCAAAGGCTGTGCCTCCCCTGGCCCTCTATCTTCATTGATAGTCCCTGAGGAGAACCCTGCTTTCTTTGTGGGCTTTTGACTCAACGGGGATTAGTGTTATAATTTGTTTTGTTTTGTTTTTGGAGACAGGGTTTCTCTGTGTAGCCCAGGCTGTCCTGGAACTCACTCTGTAGACCAGACTGGCCTCAAACTCAGAGATCTGCCTGCCTCTGCCTCCTGGGTGCTGGGAGTAAAGGCTTGTGCCACTAACACCACCTGGCTAGCATTGTGGTTTTTATTAAGTAGATGAAAAGAAAGAAAGAAAGAAATGAAGGAAGGAACAAAGGAAGAAGGAATGAAGGAACAAAGGGAGGGAGGGAACTGTGGCTAAAGACACAGGCTGCAGGCCTGGAAGGTTTGGTCACAAATGTGCAGGAGGCTGGGACCTGGTCTTTGTGGAAAGGCAGAGAGCAGGGGCTGGGGAGAGTCCCTGGAGGGGAGGCTAGAGGAACAGTGAGAGGCTGAAGTGAGGGCCCGGCACCCCTCACTCACTCACGCCTTCCACGCCAGATGATTTTTCAGACTCAGAAGAAAGTAACATCAGACCCACAGACCACAGAGTCACCTGTCTGGCTTTCAGCACCGGGGACTGGAAGCTGGATGAGGGGGTTAGAAGGAGTTCCACAGCCCCAATAGCTCCTTTTCTTCTTGATCCCCCAAACCTCCTATTCCCAGGGGACCCAGGAAGCCCTGAAGCCCCCCGGAAACTGCCCCGCCCCAAGAAGAAGGAGGCAGGGGAGGGAACCAAGCTGAAAAAGGCAAAGAAGAAAGGTAACGGGGTAAGAGGCAGACTGGCGGAGGACAGCAGGTGCTGAGTGTGTTGAGATGGTGACCCCTTCTTATACCCTCTCTGAAGGAGCTGGGGAGGCTGACAAGGAACCGGAACCCTCAAGGAGCCCAGCAGCCCCGAGAAAGAAGGTCCCAGCAGCCATGTTCCTGGTTGGGGAAGGTGGCCCGCCTGAGAAGGATGTGAAGATGAAAGGTGGGTGGCTGAAGGGTGTGGGGACAGGGACTGTGGAGGCGTGAGGGAAAGCACTGGATCACATGGGGGCCTTGACACCCTGGTCTGCTCTGACAGCTGTGTGGCCCTAAGCGGGAGGGAGGCCTTTCTGTGGCCAGAACCTTTTTATGGCTGTGGAGAGGATGAAAGGGACACACCACACGGGTGTTGGGAACACCTGGCCAATCAGGTTGAGGGGTCTACAGCTTTTCCCCCTCCATGCTCAGGGCCTCCCAAAGGCTCAGAGGACAAGAAGAAGGAGGAAGAGGAGGAGGAGGGAGAGGAGGAACCTGCAGCGATGAGGAACAGCAACCAGAAGGGCAAAGCGAAAGGAAAAGGCAGAAAGGTTGTCACCCGAAGGGCAGGTGTGGGAGACTTTGGGGTGAGGATTGGCTCCCCATTCGGGTCTGGGCACAAGGCCCGGGAACCCTGGGCTCATGGGACAGTAGAGTCATGGCTCAGGCCACCATGGGCTTTATATACTCTACTGTCCAAGGCTCCCCTCTGCAGCCCAATGTCTTCTCACTCACCAGTGAGAAGTGTTAAACAGGGAGGCTGAGCACACAGCAGCTGGACTCTGGTTTTTTGGGAGGGTGGAGGTCAGGGGAGCCCAGGGGAGCCTGGAACCTCAGCTCTTTCTCTCTCTACTGGTACTGGGATTACAGGTGTGAGTCCATGTCTGGCTTCTGTGAGGCGTCTATTTTATACATCTCTGGGGACACAGGGTGGCTGGGGGTGGGCTAGCAGGACCAGTTGTTAAACATTTCCACTCTGCTGCTCTGAGTTCACCCCTCAGGACCGCTTATCCTCCCAGCCAGCAAACAGCTCTAGCTCCAAGTGCAAACAACCCCAGCACATGACAGGCAGAGGCAGTAGGGTCAGGTGTTCAGAAGAGCTGACCTCAGCTACATGATGAGGTTGAGGTCAGCCTGACCTACCTGAGACCCTGTCTCCAAAAATAAAACTGGGCTGGAGAGATGGCTCAGCAGTTGAGAGAGCACTGGGTGCTCTTGCAGAGGACCCAGGTTTGAGTCCCAGCACCCACGTGGCTCCTCACCTTTGTAACTCCACCTGCAGGGGATCTGATGTCCCTGAGGCTCACAGTCCATTCTGATTTGACATCTTCTACTGTTAAGACATGTTGCTAAGGACTTTGAATGACAACTTGTGCACACACTCCGCAGACAAGGAGGCCTGGCTGAGAGCATTAACACTCTCCTCTAAAGCCCGAGGGTGTGGTGGTGGCACACACCTTTCATCCCAGCACTCAGGAGGCAGAGGCAGGATGATCTCAGTGAGTTCAATCAAGGTCAGCGTGGTCTACAGAACAAGTTCCAGGACAAGCTCCAAAACTACACAGAGAAACCCAGTCTCATAAAACAAAAAACCAAACCCAAACAACAATCCCCTCTCTGTACAAGAGCCAGCCCTGGTCAAGCTTTGTGGGTTTAATAGTTTGTGTAGGAGAGGCAGGTCCTCAGCAATGGATTTGCATTAACCAAGATCACTGCTGCTGATGTCCAGGGTATTTTATCCCAGGTGGAAACAGCACTCCATACCGCAGGCCTTTGAAATTCACAGGTGTAGAAATGTTTGAGTAAGTGTCAACTTTTCTCACCTCACATTCCAGACATAGTCTTGTGTTTCCCAGGTTTCTTCTGGAGAAGGCTGGAGTACAGTCAAGATGGTCATTTGTCCCTTGGCCCAGGGCCCTAGGCTGTGCTTTACCACACACAGTGTAGAGCTGCCCCCAGCAGAAGGCTCCTGGGTAAAGCCTGTGAAGCCTAAGGTGCTGAAGCCCCTGATAGGTCAGTTGCTCCCCTGAGGGATTGGAGTCCCAGCTCCTCTCACAGAGCAGCAGGAGAAAGGGCACCTGGTCTCTGCCTCCTTCTGTAACCAAAGTATTAGGAGGAAATTCTCCAAGAGCCAAGTAAGCTGACAGGTTTATGAGTCAGCTGTGTCTTGCTGTGTAACAAATGGTCTCCAAGCTTTAGTATCTTCAAATAAGGAGCCAGCTTTCCTACCTAGTTTCTAAGGGTCATAAATCTAGGGACAGCTTCGTAGAACTATGTGGGCTCAAGGTGTCACACCAGGCTGTAGTCACCTGAAAAAAAAAAAAAAACTGCCTAGGAATGGACAATTCGTTTCTTAAGTGGTTCAGTCATGGTTGTTGGTTGGAGGCCTCTCTTCCTCTCCATATAGATCTCTCCAGTAGCATTGGCTTGACCCCGGTTTCTATGTAAGAGGAACAGCTACCCAGTATGTTAATGAGAATGCAAAGAGTCAATATTTGGAGAGTTAGGCATGGTGTTACACAACTCTACTCCAAGCACTGGAGTTGCAGAGTGAGTTTGAAGCCAGCCTTGGCCTTAAAGTGAAACCCTATTTTGCTGGGTGGTGGTGTCACACACCTATGGTCCCAGCACTCAGGAGGCAGGGAGGCAGAGGCAGTTGGATCTCTGTGAGTTCGAGGCCAGCCTGGTCTATAGAGCTAATTCCAGGACAGGCTCCAAAGCAATACAGAGAAACCCTGTCTGGAAAAACCAAACCAAACCAAAACAAAACAAAACAACAACAACAACAACAAACCCCTATTTCAAATAAATAAAATAGGGGCTGAAGAGATGGCTCAGCAGTTAAGAGAATTTCCTGCTCTCACAGACGACCCTGGTTCAGTTCCCAGTACTCAAGTGATGGCTTTCAACAATTTATAATGCCAGTTCCAAGGGATCCTGTACCTTCTTCTGTACCTTCTTCTGGCCTCTAAAGATACCAGGCACACATGTAGTTCAGAGACAGACACACAGACAAAACACTCACATACAGTACAAACAAAACAAAACAAAACAAAACAAAAACACTACCACCACTATCACAACAGGGCCAGTTGTGCTTGGTAGCTCATAGCTGTCATCCCAGCACTCGGGAGGTGAAGGCAGGAGGATCAGAAGTTTGAGGTCAGTCTCCACAACATAGTGAGTTCAAGGCCAGCCTAAGCCTTGAACCCTATCTTTAAAAATGAAACTGGGGTTGCAGAGATAGCTTACAGGTTAAGAGCACTGGCTGCTCTTCCAGAGGACCAGGGTTCAATTCCCAGCACAATATCTGCAACTCCAACAAACATGCATGCAGGCAAAACACCAATGCACCAAAATAAGTCTGGGCTCAAGCTGAATAGTCACAATAAATCACAAAATTCCAGAGCCTTCTATTGTGAGGTTGGGCTGCTGAAGCTGTGGGTAATGGAGGCACCTCAGCTTCCAGGTCTGGATACTAGACCTCTCTTTCTCCCTCCAGAAGGTGGTGAGTGGTGGCCTGTCCTTCCTGGGGTGCAGAAGGGGACCTACGGAGTGGGGTATCCTGGCTGATGCACCATCTGCCCATGCAGAAGGAGGAGAGGGCCCCATCTCCCCCCGTGGAAGTGGGTGAACCCCGGGAGTTTGTGCTTCAGCCAGCGCCCCAGGGCAAGGCAGTGCGCTGCCGGCTGACTCGGGACAAGAAGGGCATGGACCGCGGCATGTACCCATCATACTTCCTGCATCTGGACACGGAGAAGAAGGTCCTGAGGAATGGGCTGCTAGGACTGGGGAATGGGATCTAGGGATGGGGGGTATTTAAGGCTGGGGACAGTGTCTAGGACCTGCCTGGTCCCCCAGCTCCATCTGCCTCACCCTGTCACCTCTCTGTCCCCTTCTCCGAAGGTGTTCCTCTTAGCTGGCAGAAAACGCAAGCGCAGTAAGACAGCCAACTACCTCATCTCCAGAGACCCTACCAACTTGTCCAGAGGAGGGGAGGATTTTGTTGGAAAGCTGAGGTGAGGATGCTCCTGGGCCACTGTCAGTCACTTCTGTCCCACTGTGGCTGGTGGAGTGTTCCACATGGGATGCTCCAGAGACGTCCCTCAGCCTAGGGCATCTCACACTCTGACATACATGGATCTCTCATCTACATGGTTTTGTGACATTGCATGTCAACAACTCCCCAAGGGGTGGAGACTATGTGGTCCTGACCAAGCCTCTCACAGAGATGGACTCTAGCTAGCTCCATGAGGGCAGGGCCAGGCTCATGGCCCATGTCCTGCATAGTGTCTTCTGTAAGGAGGTTTGCTACTGGTGTGGTTTTATAATCCCAGCACTTAGTAAACAGAGAAAAGAGTTCAAGGTCATCTTTGGATGTATAAGGAATTTGGAGCCAGCCTGGGCTACATTACCCACTCCCCCAAAAAAAGAAAAAGAGGAGAGAGAGAGAAAGGGAATGTAGCTCAGTTGGTAGAGTATTTGCTTAATCAGGTTTGGTCCTAGCACCACATAAACTAGGTGTAATGGAACATGTCTGTAAAACCAGCACCAGGAGGCAGAGGCAGAGGCAGGAGGATTCAAGCCCGTCTCAAAAGCAATATTTACTTAGTGAATGAACAAAGGAGACTCGCTGTGACAGGCAGGCTTCCAGTATGGCAACTTGGCTACCACTAGTTAGAAATGACTTGTTTATTTGCGCATTTAATTAAAGGGGGCTTGTCTGTGCCTCAGGCAGAGTTAGTTCTAAGGGCATTCCAAATATAAAGCAGACATCTCATCCTCTTACTAACCAAACTGAGGAGGATTCTAGCTATGTCCTGAGGGCCATTGAGATGGCTCAGGGAGTAAGGGTCCTTGCCACCAAGCCCAAAGACCTGAGTTCAATCCCTGGGACTCACATGATAGAAGGAGAGGGCAGACTCCTGAACGTTGTCCTCTGACCTCTACACATTCAGTAAGTCAACTGACGTGATAATCAACTCAAGGGGGACAGTTGAGACTCTCCTATTTCCTAGGACCACACAGATGAAGCCAAAATTTCAAGGATTTTTTTTGTTTTGTTTGAGACAGGGTTTCTCTGTTTAGTCTGGCTGTCCAGGAACTCAATTGTAGGCCAGGCTAGCCTTGAACTCACAGAGATCCACCTGCCTCTGCCTCCCGAGTGCTGCTGGGACCAAAGGTGTGTGCCACCACTGCATGGCTTTGAATGATTTCTTTTATTCTTTTTTTTTTTTTTTTTTTAATTTTATTAGTCTGAGTTGGCATGTTTGTGTGGAGGTCAGAGGACAACTCTGTTGGATCAGCTGTCTTTCTGTTTTTCTGGGGGTCAAACTGGGGTCCTCAGCCTTGTGCTAGAGTTTAGCACTGAGCCTTACCCCTGATATGTATGTATGTATGTATATATGTATACACATATACATATATATAGATAGATTTTTTTTTTTTTTGAGACAGGGTCTCATGTAATCAGGCTGGGTTGGACCTCACGATGTGTTGGCAGATGGATGACCTTGGATTCCCAATCTTCTGCCTCCACCTGCCAAACACAGCAGTTACTGCCACACCTGGCTCTGTTTTTCTTGCTGCTGGGGATTGAACCTAGAGCCTCAGGCATGCAAGAGAGGTGCTCTACCATGGAGTCCCACAGCCAGACTGTTTCACAATAACAACGATAGCAATAATTTTAAGAGCTCTCCCTTCAAGGGAGGCCTGGATAAGGGCACATGACTCGCTTACTCCCATGACACACTCTGTCCCTTGCTCTTGAATTTCGGGGTAGTGGGAAGGGATTTGGAACCCTCTTACCTCGATCCAACTCTTCTCCCACCCTCAGGTCCAATCTCCTGGGCAACCGCTTCACCGTCTTTGACAACGGGCAGAACCCACAGCGTGGCGGAGGTGTGGACGTGGGGAGCCTGCGCCAGGAACTGGCAGCTGTGGTCTATGTGAGAAAAGCCACTGTCCCCATCATGAGAGGCTCTTCTCAGCTAGGATGTAGCCTGACATCCATTTCTCTCGTTCAGGAAACAAATGTTTTAGGGTTCCGAGGACCCCGTCGCATGACTGTCATCATTCCTGGAATGAACTCGGACAATGAGAGGGTTCCTATCCGGCCCCGAAATGTGAGCTGTGTTCTGTACTGACCCATTCAGGGAGATCAGGGCCAGGAACTCAGCTTGCCCAAGTGGGTCTCCTGCCACAGCTTCCTTCTGGCCACTTGTAGAATGAACTCAGGTTCTCTGTCTCTGAATTCATGCCAAACATGGTGGCACGCTCCTGTAATCCCAGAACTTTGAAGGTAAAGGCAGGCAGATCAGTAATTGAGGGTCATCTCTAGCTACACATGGAGGGTTCTAGGCCAGCCTGAGCTACCTGAAGACCTGTCTCAGAGAAGTAAACAACACTGGAGAGATGGCTCAGTAGCACACACTGCTCTTTTGAAGGACTTGAGTTTGTTTTAGAGGGGTTGGGTGGGAGGTTGTTGTTTCTGAGGCAGATCTCACTGTGTAGACCAGGCTGGCCTTGAACTCACAGAGATCTGCCTGGCTCTGCCTCCAGAGCACTGGGGTGAAAGGCGTGAGCCACCGTGAAGCAACAAGAACCCTATGAAGCTTTAATTCCCATGGAAGAAGGTAGACAGCAGAGAGTGATTGGGACAAACGAGCAAAGGGTGGGAGATGGTGGAAGGTGGCAAGTGCTATGGGGAAGCCAAGAGAGACAGAGTGGGACAGCTGAGGTACACGCCTGTCACACAGGTTTCAATATCAGGCCTCAGTGACATAGGGCGAACTGCCCCCAGGGGTGCAGGTGAGCCATCTTCAGCGCCTGTAACCGTCCTTTGTCACCTCCCCTTGGGTACCCCAGTCCAGTGATGGGCTATTGGTGCGCTGGCAGAACAAGACACTGGAAAGCCTCATCGAACTACATAACAAACCACCCATCTGGAACGAAGACAGTGGCTCCTACACCCTCAACTTCCAGGGCCGGGTCACCCAGGCCTCAGTCAAGAACTTTCAGATTGTGCACGCTGATGACCGTAAGTATTTGAGGGCTCCCTCTCTCTCTCTCCCTCTCTACTCTGGATGGGAGGGGGCTCAGGTAGTCCAAGCAGAAGTCTTGGGGTTCACTAGTATAACTTATTGATGGACCAGGACCCCTGGGTAGATGCTGGGACATTCCCAATGGTATTGTGATGAGGGGAGGGGTAAGTTGCTGGAAGCTGGAAAACACCTAGAATCTAAGCCCTTCATGTGGAGGAGGAGGTGGGGCTCAAGGCCACACAGAAGAGATGAGAGAGTTAAAACTTATTGTTCTCAAGATAATTATCTAAGGCAAGGTCTCACTATATAGCCCTGGCTGTCCTAAAACTATCTATGAGGACCAGGTTAGCCTCAGACTCACAGCGATCCCAACCATGACTGGCTAAAATAGAAGATTGTCTTCTTTGGTGGTATAGGGATGGTTTTTTGAGACAGGGTTTCTTTGTTAACATGTCTTGGAAATCTTTATAGACCAGGCTAGCCTGGAGCTTGCAGAGATCCACCTGCCTCTGCCTCTGGAGTGCTGGGATTAAAGGCGTGTACCACCACACCCAGCAATGGTTATCTTTTAAGAACAGGATTGTTAGGGTTTGGGAGGAAGTGAACACCACCTTCTATGTCTGTGTATAAAGTCAGAGGACAACCTGCCAGGGTCACTTCTCTCCCCTCATCAGTTGAGCCCTAGGAATCAGATTCAGGTCATCAGACTTGGTTCCATGCACCGAGAGTACGAAATATGGACCATGCATTTCTAAGTGCCTGCATTATTTCTTTTTTTTAAAGATTCATTTATTTTGGTTTTCCAAGACAGGTTCTCTGTGAAACAGTCCTGGATGTCCCAGAACTCACTTTGTAGGTCTACAAGTTCGAATGGCTTCGAACTTGCAGAGAACCTCCTGCCTCTGCCTCCTGAGTGCTTAAACCATCTCCTGGTTTAAGATTTACTGTTTGCATGTGTATGCTCCTGCATGAATTATGTGCACCTTCTGTGTGCAGGTGACCACAGAGGCCAGAGGGTGTCTGATTCCCCTGGAACTAGAGTCACAGGCCCTTATATGGGTGCTGGGTCCTCTGTAAGAGTCCTAAGTGCTCTTAACTGCAGAGCCTTCTCACTGATTGCCCCTGGGGGCTTAGGGAAATGAGTTCTCCAAAGCACAAATGTGCCTGTTGTAAACTCAGGCTAGAGTACTACACAAAGGACTCCAGGGCTAGAGGGTTTGGCCTTTATCATGAAGTCCCACACCCCCATTCTGTCCTAGAGCTGTCCCCACTCCCTAGTGTCCCCTGGCATTAGGACTGCTCACCAGGTCAGTTCCTGTGGGAGCCTGGCCAAGGTGGAGGGGTTTTGTTTTAGAGCAGCTTCCTATACTTATGCATACTAGGAGAGAGGTGCTGAGATCCAGGCTGAGAAGCCTGTTGGGTGGTCTGGCCTAGGGGTCCTAACCGGGGTGACCAGCCTGGTCCTCACAGACATATTCAGGAGAGCCAGGGCATTTGGGAGGGAGGTAGCAGGAGAATTAGGAATTCAAACCCAGCCTTGGCTACACAAAGAAAGAGTAGGGAGAAAGAGAGGGAAGGGTGGGGGAAGAGATTGATTGATAGATTGATTGAGGGAACACCTAGTTACAGAGGGACCTGAACCTGTGTCAAATGTGGGCCTTATGGACTGGGGACTGGTCAGAGGAATGAGGCCAAAAGACAACAGAAAGATGTGAGGGAAGGGTTCTGGTTTGTCAGGGTCCTGAACTGCTAGATAACAGGTTTGCTGTAGCCCTGGGCAGCAGCTGATAAGGTGGGGCTCCTGCTCTGCTGACTTGGTGTGACAGACCCTACATAGGTGGGGCTCGTCGGATGACACAGAAAGGGGAAGGTAGCACGAGGCTGCCTGGGGGCTGTGAGTCCAAATCAAGGAGAAAGACCCCCCTCCCGGTGTTAAGGGGTTACCTGCCAAGATGGGCCCCGAGGTCACCCCACTGTCTGTTCACAGCCGACTATATAGTGTTGCAGTTCGGCCGTGTGGCTGAGGACGCCTTCACTCTGGACTACCGGTACCCGCTGTGCGCCCTGCAAGCCTTCGCCATCGCCCTCTCCAGCTTCGACGGGAAGCTGGCCTGCGAGTGACCCCTCAGCTCTGGGAAAGCACTCAATTGGAGGTGTCAGGGTCCCTCTCCCACAGCACCCACAGAAGGGCTCACCCCTCTGCTTCTTGGGGACTCCGCGCATCTCCAGCCTGGCACAGGCTCTGAAAGGCTGGGATGGAGATGAACATCTGGTGGCATAGCAATGCCTGCCTCACTCCCCCCACCCCACCCCAAGTCCTTCCTGCCCGGGAGCCTGAATTAGAAGTTTGAGGCCCCTCTGGGCTCGCGCTGGGGAAACGGAGAAACAGATCAGGGACCTACATTCCCAATAAAGTCACTTCCCGGACTGAACGAAGCAGTAATTTCTGGATGCGTGCCTGTAGACCCAGGTGCCCACGCGCGCTCTGAGCTCCCTTGCCCCCTTCTCCAGCCGTCGCGGGTCCCATCGAACCTCGGCGGGAGCTCAGGGTCCCGCAGCAGGGCGGATAGGGAGGGGCCCCAGAGGTCCAGGAAGAGGGAGAAAGGGAGAAATTCGAGAAACAAGCAACTCGGGGAGAACCAGACAAACCGGGTCCGGCCAGGGCGGAGCCGAGTCTGGGGCCCCGGAGTAGGGGGGGCGGGCTCTCAGTGGGAGGGGCGCTGCAGAGGCCTCGGCTGAGGCGGACCCGAGTGGAAGGGTGGGAGCCCCGGGACCCGGTGCGTGTTCGGTCCCGGGGTGCGGCTCCCCGGGACCCCCGACATCTTCGGAAGTCCGGCCCAGGGGGCAGAGCTCCACTCTTGGCTCCGCCCCAGGCCTGATCCCCAAGATTCAGCGGGGTACCCAAAAGGGGGTATTATAGGGGATGTGGGGACTCTGAGATGGCAAGCGGGAGCTGGGGTGCGTGGCAGAGTGAATCCGCGCTGACGGGAGTTCTTGGGGCTGGGTGGTCAGAGACCACAGGCCGGGACCCGCCTTAGACCACGCCCCCGAACCGACACCGCCCACCACGGACACGCCCATCTCTGGCCCCGCCCATAGCCCGCCCCTCCAGCCCGCAGCCCCCGCCCCCCCGCCCGGCTCCTCAACACAAACTTTCCGTCCCGCTCGCTCCCTCCTCCGCGCACAGCACCTCCCGCTCCGGCCCGGCTCATTCCGTGCATTCCGGCCATCCCCCTGCCCACGACCCCCCTTCCCGGCCCCCCTCGCTACTCCCTCGGGCCCGGCGGAGCGGCCCGGCGGAGCGCCCCCCGGAGCTCGGAGCAGGTAAGCCCGGGAGACGCAACTCGGAGGCCTCGCGCGCAGAGGTGACCGCTCGAGTGGCTTCTGGATGGCGGAGACCCGGGACACTCTGGGGTCTCTGAGCTATTGTCCAGCCTGCGCCCGAGCCCAGGACCTGGTGTCGGGAAGTTTGGAGGGAAGGGGGAGACGCTCTCCGGGAAGCCCCGCCCACCCACCCCACCCCCCCGCGACCCGGAGGCTGGGAAGCCCGGAGTGTCCCGGGTGCCCGGGCCTGGCCCTGCCGTGTGCCGGGGTGTGAGCCTGGGGCGGCGGGCTCGGAGGGCCTGCCGCCGGGACTCGTATCCGGGGCGCCCTTTGGACTCCGGGAGCCGGCGGGCCCCGGCTCCACGCAGGCCTTGGTCAGGGCGCGTCGGTGTGAGCGCTGCTCGCGGCTTCACTGGGACCCGGTCGGGCGTCAGGAAGCCACACTGCGAGCCCGGAGCGTGTGCGCACCCAAGGAGGACGCCTGTCCTCTCGTTCTGGGGCCCGCGTCGGGGGCGAGGGCTTCAGAGTTCCAGGTCCGAGCACCGGGAGCCTCGTTCGAGACGTGGCTTCATTTGGGGCCTTCTCCGGAGAACTTGTTAATTAAGGCAATTGCGGGCGCCTAGTCTTCCCTTCCCACTCGGGTCCTCTCCATTGTCCGTCACGTCTTTATTCCTTCTTGGGAAAGGAGGCCGGAGCGCTGATGTGGGTCTGTTTTCTAGCCCAACAGGCCCTGGGGCAGTGTCACCGAAGTCCCTACTCTACCCCCACCCCCAATAGGGGCCCTGGTCGAGGGCTTAGATTCTTAAAGAGCCAGGGGGAAGAGGCCCGGGCTTCTCAGGGCCTGTGTCCCGAGCTCTCCAGGTAGGGGCAGAACCTAGTCAGGCCTGGACTTGTAGCCCAGCCGGGAGGATGGGGGTGGGGGGGCTGGACACAGCTCTGAGGGGCTGGTGTTCTTGGTGGCTCCGTGTATTCACCCTATCGTTGCCTGGATTGTGCACACACGGTTCCGCCTCAGTGCTGGGGTCTGGGACACTGCCCGGCTAGGGGCTGCTGTTGCCCTGGGCCAGGCGGGAAAGCAGATAGAACTTAGAGGTTTAGGGAGACTGTGTCTGTGTCCTTCCTAGCCCCGGACCTCCCTAGGAGACTCCCCTAGCCCCGAACACTTGTTAGAGCAATTGAGGGCGACTAGTTTTCCCTTTCCACTCAGATCTTCCCCCTTTGTCTGTTAACGCTTTTTTATTCTTTCATGGAAAGGATGGGGTTCTATTCACCCACTGTGTGGCCCAAGAGTAGACGTGATGACTGGATACCCCCTCCTCAGGGAGGGGCTGGAAGCCAGGCTTTCCACCCCCAGGGAGGGAACTGTAATTAATGCTAATTAGCACTTTGGGGCTGGGTATGGTGGAACAGAATGGTCAGTGGTTGACAGGAGATCTCTTGAGTGTGTGCACACACACGTAGGTGAGTGTCTATCCAGAGCCCTGCACTCACCATCACTCAGTTTTTACATCCTAACCTGTTATGCTGTCAAGAGGAGAAACAGCTCCGTGAGGTCAGGAGGCAGGCCTCTGGTCCCCTGTTGGGCCAGCTGTACTGATGACTTCTCAGGTGCCTAATCCCTGAGCCCCGCAGAGGCTCATCTGTCTGCCTTCAGTCTCCTCTCATCGTGGAAGCTGAACCTGGAGGGGTCTGGAGAGGTGTGTGTGGGGGGGGGTAAAGTCTTGGGAGGGCGCATAGTTAAGACATGGATGAGAGGTAGCCTGAGGCAGGAGTGAAAGGGCAGGGAGGCTCTGTGTAGTGGGGGTGCTTGGCCTTGTAGGTGGGGTTTAGAGACCACTGGAGGCTACCCAGAACCTTTCAGTGCCCCTAGGGCCCCGTGTAGGAGCCTACTGGGACAGAAGCCACCAGTCCTGTCCTTAGAGGAGCTGAGGGTTGGAGGGTGAACTCCTGCTTGAGGAACCGGGTCACAGGCAACCAGAGGCTCCGAGGGCCTGACTGCCATGGTGTTCTGAGGCTCGCAGAGGTCCCAGCCTTGTACCCCGTGGGTTACAGGAGCTGTCAGCAGCCCTGGGACCCCAGCCTGAGCCTCTCTGGTTAGAGCTGGAATCACCTGGTTGCTGCTGTCCCTGTGAGCACTGCTGCTCCGAGCAGAGGATCAGGCAAGCAGTTGAGCAGGCGCTACCTGTCCCCAGACCCTGAATCCAGACCCAGATCTCCAAAGCCTCAGCCCTTGGGGTTTCCTCGAATGCTCATTGCTTCCTGGACTCCCTGCCAGTCCTGAAAGGACAGGAAGTGATAGAGGGAAATGAGAACACAGCTGTGTGTGGCTGGGTTTGAGCATGTGAGAGGGGAGAGAGGGGTCATCTGTGTGGGATCTGCTGTGCAGTGAGTACGTGTAGGAAAGAGTAGGTACAGAGAAAAGCTGTCTGTGGCGACGCGTGTGAGAGCCACCATGATGCTCTCCATCCCTGTGGTAAGGAGAGAAACTGAGAACTTGAGCTGCCAAGGTGGCTCTGAGCGTAAAAGAGAGCTTGTAGTCAAGCTTGCTGACCCCGTGTTCATGTCCAGGGCCCACATGGTGGGAAGAGAGCCCATGAGAATCTGGTGTGTAAGTTGACTGGGGAGTGGGGATTTCTCTCTCTCTCTCTGTGTGTGTGTGTGTTGTATATCTGCCCAGGTGACTTTCTGTTGTTGGGCATCACATTTTGATAATCATGAAGAAAATAGCATGTCTGTGGGTGACACTGGCTGTGTGTGGGACAGTGATGCTATGATTCTATGTGAGGGGCATCCCATGTGACCTGTCATACCATGGTGTGGCCACTTCTGTTTCCAGTTGTGAAATGATGCGTGAGGTGGCTTTGGGTTTGTCTGTGTGACTGTTTATGACACTATACGTGAGCAGTGTCCACTGCCATCGATGTGTTTGAGGGCGCAGTGTGTGAGGAGGAGCTGAGCACAATATTTGTGCCCTGTATGTAAGTGAGACAGCCTGGGAGAGATAGCCAGAGTGTGCAGCTCTCTGTGTGAGAAATGGGTGTGACTGAGACTGACGCCGTGGGTGGTCACTGTCTCATCTTGTGTGGGTGACATCCTCAGGGCCATGCCACACAGGGTGTGGGGGCCTGTGACCCCAGTGCATGTGGCATCTACCTGGAATACCTTGAAATGATACTGTGAAGCTGGGTGTGGTGGTGCACACCTTCTGAGGTAGAGGCAGGCAGATCGATCTCTTAAGTTTGAGGACAGCCAGCACTACATAGAAAGACTGTCTCCAAAAAAAGAAAAAAGAAAAGAATACTGTGAAAGAGAAGGCATGTATGCCTAGTGGATCCCAGTACCAGTGAGGCTGAGAGAGGAATGGAAACGTCTAACTCAGTAGATACTATGATATGCATGTATTCATTTTCGTTCACATTTGTGGTTCCCAACACATGCAAGGCTGAGGTGTGAGGGGTGGTGAGTTCAAGGCCAGCCAGAGCTACAAAGACCTTGTATCAAAACCCAGCAAGAAAAAAAAAAAAGTTAAAATGGTAACTTTATGTTCTAATACACAAAACCCTAATTTGAATTTTTCCTCACACTTGTAAAACCCAACACTTGAGAGTACCACAAGTTTGAGGGTAACCTAGGGTACAGGAGTAAAGACCCATTTTCAAAAGAGTGCTGGGTTGGGTGAGATGGCTCAGCGGGAAAAGGTGCTTGCTGTCAAACCGAATGACCTGAGGTTGATATTCAGTACCTGTAAGATGGAAAGACTCTGACCTCCACACGTGAACTGTGGCGTAAGCATGCTCACACTAACAACACACACAGAGAGGAATAAATAACACTATGACTATATGTGAAGGCAATATATATTTGAAACACAGCAGGCTAACACAGTACGATGGCTGCTGTCCTCCGATGGAGGAAGGGCAAGGTGGAAACCTGCTTATGGAGGACACCGAGACTTCGATGGTCCGGAGGACACCGATGACATCGCCCACTGCTGGCAGCCCAGTGGGTGACTTGAGGTGCTGGTGGATAGCCACATGTTAACTGGTTTTGTGGGACCCCAGTTCCCCAGTTACCCCCCCAGCCTGCCCCCCCCCCACTGGATCTCTCAGGTTCCGTATACAAAGAGACCCTGGAAAGCGGCAGGGAGTGGTTTGGAGGCATTCTGGGCTGTTTGCTGGAGGTTTGGGGCGTTGAGGAGGGGGCTGTTCCTGGCTAGGGCTCCTAGGGGTAGTGGAGAGGGGCGGGAACGGTGATTCTCAAATTGGAAGCACATTAGTTGAGCGGGAGAGGGGAGGCACCGCCTCCTCCAGGGGCCTGTAAATTACTCCCTCCTGTGGAGAAGGGGAGCCGATCCTCCCTCCCCAGCCTGGCAGGGTGTGGCTACTTGGCTGGTCCCTTCTGGGTTCTTAGACTGGAGGTGGGGGAGGTATAGAGCATCTCTATCCCCTCCCCTGGCCCATTCTGGTCCCAACCAGAGCTTGGCCACTTGTAGGGTGGGAGCCTCTGGCAGCTGGAGAACAGCTGGCTGCTGTGGGGGTGGGGTGGAGGGAAGAAAGGCTAGGGGGTGGGGAGGCCCAGCGGGCCCTGCCCGGCGTTGCCTCCTTGTCAGCCCAGTCTGGGGTGGAGCGCAGGGGATGCACTGATTGCCCGCATTGGGTTATGGCTCTTGTAAGTGAGAGCACTTGGGGGAAGGGGTCTCTGCAGGACAGGTAGCAGCTAGCTCCAGCCCTGGGAAACAGCGAAGGGCCGTTTGACCACGTGCCTTGTCTCTGCTATGCCGATACCACGGTATCAGCGCTCGGGGAGCCGGCGCCCCAGGCTTGGCCTTATCCCTGCGGAGGGAGCCACGGGGACTTTGCAGCCGCCCAACTCTGGCCTCCATTCAGAGCTGTCTGGCCAGTTCTGCCCGTAGATCTGGCCCCGGGGCTGGGAGTGGGCACCCAGGGCCCCTTATCTCCTTGAGCCTCCTGGCCCCTTCCTCGTCACTGGCCCGAGGCACCTTCTGACCCCAAGTCTGAGGGTCTGGAGAGGGGAGGAGGCAGGTGTGACTGTTCTGCAGGCTAAGGGTGAGGTGCGGAAGCCTGGGGAAGGCTAAAGCCATCCAGAAAACTCGGGCTTGAAGGAGAGGGTCTGTGGGAGGAGCCGCCAATCCAGGTCCCGCCCCTCCCTCCCATCTCCCGGGTTTCTGTCCTTCCTCTGCTCTAAGGACCCTGACTTCCTCCTGCTGTGGACCCATCCCTGGGTCTTCTGCCTCCTCTCCTGATGAGAGTCTGTCAGCCTGACGGGTTGTCTGGTACTAGCTGGTCTCTGTGCTCTCCACAGTTCACTCTGGCCTGCGACTGCTGGCTGCTGGGTGACGCTTCTGGGACCCTCCTGCCCTTTCCATCTCTCTGGGCTCATCTCGCCCAACATTTTCTGCCCCCTGTTCCACCCAGAACGCAGCCTATAGAGGTTGGGGGCTGCACTGCTCCCACCCACCTGCCCCTGAGGCTCGGCCTCCTGGCTCCCATGTGGTCCCAAGGTTTGGGGGTGAGCATCCATGCTCCAGGCACTGCCTTCATCCATCATAGTGATCCTGGGAGGGCAGCAGTGGTCACCCCAGTAGTCTCCTCTGCCTTCCGAGGGGTGTCTTCTCTGAATGATGTCAACAGAGAATACTCCTACCCCCAGCGTCTGCCCATGCTGGGCAGTGGGGAGCCTTGCACAAATTGTTTTTGTGGGAGGCTGTTTTGGGGGTGCCACTCCTGTGGGTACTCTGCCCTCCAGGGGTGTGTCCTTAGAACGGTGTCAGCCCAGCAGGTGCCCGGGAGCTGTGTAGGGTGTGTATGTTAGGGTCCCTATTCCTTGACACCCCTCACCCTCAATACCCTTCCCCCTCTCCAGCTGCCTGAGATCCCAGCCAGGGGCTGCCCCGCCCCCCCCCCCAGTCTGTCCCAGCTCCCTGGCTGCTCTGTTAGCCATATTTGGCCACATGCTCCTGCGGGGGCGGGGCAGGGCAGGGCTGACATCACCCAGGAAGGGGGCATGGCCTGGATGAGGGGGAGACAGCCAGAGACTTGGGGGAGGCCTGCAAGTTTCTTCACGAGTCGGACTGCCAGGTTACCCCCTTGTACTAGGCCTGGCTGTTCCATCTGAGACTGAGGGCCCAGGGGTCTTATCTCAGGATGGGACCTCTGACCTTTCCAGCTGGTCTGACAGCTCCATGGCAGCTGCAGATGGATACCTGGGGAGGCTAAGACCACCAAATGCTGCTCCAGTGCCCCTTCCCATCCACACCTTGGTCCATGCCTACCATACAATGGATGGAAGGGCTGCAGACCTAGACAGTTCTTGTGGGCAGGGACAGCTGCCCACTGACCACAGAGAGACTCCTGGGTGACTGGTCTTGTGCAGTGTTGTGGGGCCCTGAAGTTGTTATAGCCACGAACTGAGGGGGCTCAGTGGCCTGAACCTCACTTTCCTATCCAGGTGGTGGGTTTCACTGCCTTTTTCCTGTCGGGGGGGGCAGCCAGGGCTCTCTTCTCTCCCTATGTACCCTCTCCCCATCCCCCAGCTCTGTGGCTGACTTGCTGTGTGTCCTTGGAAATTAACGTCTCTGTTCCTTGGCTTTTCTCATGTGATAATTATAGTACCTGGCGTATGGCAGGTGCCACTGTTAGAAATATTAAGTCTAAACCTGACTCTAGGGCTGTGTGTGGTTGTGTATATATGCCTGATATCCTACCACCTGGGAGGCTGAGGCAGATGGATGGCCAGCTTGGGCTATATAGTGAGACCCGTCTCCAACAGATAAGTAAAATGAGCTCCAAGATCAACATTTGGTCAGACACTGCTGGGTGTATGTCTGTCTGTCTATCCAGAGGTCTGCCTGTCTCTGCCTCCTGAGTGCTGGCATTAAAGGTGTGCACCGGCAGACAGTCTGCATTCTTGCTTACCCACAGCAAATTGCACCAAGGGGTGGTGTCAGATTCTGGTATTCTGGGGTTGCAGGAGACATGTGTCTGGGGTTGTGTTCTTGGGGACAGGAAGGGTGTATGGAGCACAGGTGCCCATGTGCTGTGTGAGCCAGGACAGGCCTGCCTGTGGGTGGTGAGGGGCTATGGGAACAGGAAGTGATGGAGGAGGCTGGACAGGCCAGGCAGAGCCAGGCTGCTGTCTGCACCTCCTAGCTGGTCTCTGCTGCTCTGTGCTGGCTATGTGCGGAGCAGCAGCTGGCCAGTGCTAAGGTCCTCAGTGGGATTCTCTTCAGTTACCTGTGGGGAAGGTGAGGACAGTCTTCTCTCACAGCAGGGGCCCCAAGCTGCCCTGGTGTTGGGAAGGGTGGGTAGTGAAGGCCCTGGCAGAGCTCTCACCTCTCTGCCCCAAAAGGGCTGCAGACACACCAGTCCTTGCTGGATACTCTGCTTCAGAGTTCTTCCAGCAGTCTTGTGCCTGGGGGACCTCCCACTTTCATGCTCCTCCCTGCATTCCCTCTGCCTGCCTATGTAGAGCCTGGGCAGACATGCAGGTGTGAGGTGCTCTCTCACGGTCCAGGCTGGACTCAGTTGCTGTGTGTATCTGCCCTACCCTTCCAGCGCTGGTTACTGGCTTATGCCGCCATGCTCAGGTTTTTGTGTTTTGAGTCAGGGTCTTTCTGTGTAGTTCAGACTGACCTTTGAGATTTGCAGTTTGCCTGCCTTAGCCTCCTGAATTCTGGGATTACAGGCAAACACCATGCCTGGCTCAAACTAGCAATCCTCCTGCCTCGGCCTCCCAAGTGCTTGTGATTACAGGTGTGCAGCACCTGTTGATGGTGATGGGGAGACCTCTACCTTTATTAGTTATTTTCCTGTGTGTGTGTGTGTGTGTGTGTGTATGTGTAAGACCTCTCTCTACCTTTATTAGTTGTTTTCCTCTCTCTCTCTCTGTGTGTGTGTGTGTGAGACCTCCCTCTCTCTACCTTTATTAGTTATTTTTCCTCTGTGTGTGGGGTGGGGGAGACCTCTCTACTACCTTTATTATTTTTCCTGTGTATGTGTGTGTGTGTGTGTGTGTGTGTGTGTGAGTGTGAATGAATGAGACATGCCTGTGGAGGAGAGGGAACAACTTCCAGGAGTCCATCTATCCTGCCACCATGCAAGTCAGGCTTAGCACATTCTCTTTTGAGGGGACACGGGGGTCATGAAGAGGGGCAAGAAGGGCCAAGGTATCATGTAGCCCCGGCTGACCCTGGTCCCAGAAGTGCTGTGTAGTAGAGGAGGCTGAACGGATCTTCTGCCCGCTGCAAGTGCTGGGTGTTACACTACCATACCCAACTACTATTGGTTTTTAGTGTTTGCAGCCTGGCATTTTAACCCTTATAACTCAAGGAATGACAGGCAGTTGTTAGCTCGGGTGCTGGGGATGGAAGCAGGGTCCACCACTCTTGTCTGCAATCCTCCGAGGGACCATTTTGACTTTTTAAGTTTTATTTATTTTCTGTATTTGCATGTACATCTGCATGTCAGAAGAGGGTTTCAGATCCCATTATAGATGGCTGTGAGCCACCATGTGGTTGCTGGGAATTGAACTCAGGATGACCTCTGGAAGAGCAACTGATGCTCTTAACCACTGAGCCATCTCACCAGTCCCCCATTTTGACTTTTTATAGGACCCATGCTCAGAGAGGGAAACTAACTCATTCAAGGTCACACAGCTCTAAACAGGCTTAACCTCTGTCAGCCTTCATCGATCCTGGAGTATCTGCCCTTGGTGTAGGGAGCACAGGAGTGTGGCTGCTGGGGTGGGGAAACCCTGCCCTAACCCTTCTCATCTGCTCCTCCAGGCTCACACCATCCAGGGGGCTCAGGCCCAGAGCCCAGAGCAACCAGCACAATAGCGTCCAACAGCTGGACCGCCAACAGCAGCCCCGGGGAGGCCCGGGAGGATGGGTCCGAAGGCCTGGACAAGGGGCTGGACAACGATGCCGAGGGAGTGTGGAGCCCGGACATCGAGCAGAGCTTCCAGGAGGCCCTGGCAATCTACCCGCCCTGCGGCCGGCGCAAGATCATCCTGTCGGATGAGGGCAAGATGTACGGTGAGTGCATGGGGCAAGCAGAGGTGGGCGTGGCCCCGCCCGATGGCCCCGCCCCCTGCTCTCTGTCCCCTGCCAGACCGGTTGGTTGGGGGAGCCCTGGCCGCCTGCCCGACGGGCGAGTCCGGGCGGGCTCGAGCTGCCTGTGTCTGGGGCCTCCTCCAGCTGTACCTCGCATCGCAAACAGGCCGGCCGCAGCCCACATGCTCCCTGCCTCTCCCCAGCCCTGACGGCTGGAGGTTTCGGGGTGACTCAGGGGGCCAGGAAAACTGGGTCAGTCCAGGGAGCCTCTGAGAGCCTATGGCCTAGTGAGGCAGTACCAGACACATCCGACAGGACTGAGGGGATACCATAGGGAGAAGTAGACAGGGGTCCCACCCTCTGCCCAGGCTGGTCCTTCGTGCCTGAACCCCCGCTCTTGTGACAGGAGGGTGTTCTGGGGTGCCTCCACTGGGTAGGGCTGCCTGCCCACATTGCACCCTCACCAATGGCAGGGAAGCCCCACTGGGTATTTTTAGACGATGGGTTGGCGGGCAGGGAGGAGCAGTGGGGCCTGTTCTGTCATCACAGAGGAATTTGGGGAATGTGGCAGTTCTGGGGAGGACAAGAGGTTGGGGGGCTGAGTGCACACCCTGGAAGCTGACACACGGCCTATGGTATGTATAGACAGCCCCCACCTTGCATAGCCTACTCCCTAAGAGGGTCTCTGATGCTGAGCAGAGCCCCTACCTCAAGACTGAGTCGATTGGGTAACACCATATGGGTCATTGGCATAAGTACCCCTTGACACACCTTGACCCAAGCTACCAGATAAGAGACATGTTTGAGGCCTCCTGCTTTCTTCACCAGAGAAGGGACAGGGTTTGTTCAAGGTCTCCCATGCCCAGGATGAAGCCATATAGAACTGCTCACAGACAACGGACAAGGGCTGAGACCCACTTACACTCCAGCCTCTGAGCCTCGTTAAAAAGAGTGATGACCATGCTGTCTGGGACGCCTGTCAAGGTCCCCCGTTTTGTGTAGGCCTTCCTCTGCCCCAGGTCCTGGAGGCAGTGTGAAGAGTGGCGAGTGTGAGGTGCCAGCCTCAGCTCTGACCCTCCTTCTACCCAGTCCTCACTGGCTGTCTCTCTCTGACAAGGTCGAAATGAGCTGATTGCCCGCTACATCAAACTGAGGACGGGAAAGACCAGGACGAGAAAACAGGTAAAGAGCTGGCCCTGGCCCCCTGCCACTCCACCCATGGGCTTCTTGTGTTTAGGGACCACAGATTAGCCCACAGGGCCTGCTCACCAGTCAGGAAGATGAATGTGTACCAGGAGGGGTAGAGTAGAAACAGGTAGTCTAGTCTCACTGAGGTAGGCCTGGAAGCAGGACACCAGAACTGCCTTTGGACTATGTGGGAGTTAACCAGGAAAGGGAGTCTGCCAAGCTGGGGTTCAACAGATCAGACATGGTAGCAACCATTATACCCCACACCACAGAATTACCAAGTGATAGCGTCCTGACTAGGACCATAACCCACTCCGAGCCCGCTCTGTTGCTATGATAAAGACCTTGACCAAAAGCAACTTGGGAAAGGGAGGGTTGTTTCACTTTATACTTCCCCATCACCGTCCATCACTGAGGGAAGGCAGGGCAGGACCTTGGAGGAATGCTGCTTGCTGCTTTCGTAGACTACCCAGGGCCACCTTCCTAGGGATGGCATTGTCCAGGGTGGCCTGGGCCTTCCCACGTCAACCAACGAAGTGTAGCACAGGCTTGTCCACAAGCCGATCTTGTGGGGGCATATTCTCAATTGAGGTTCCCTCTTCTCAAATGACTAGCTTGTGTCAAATTGACATAACACTAAGAAACTGGAGAAGGGTGTCGCTCAGCTAGGAGGAGGTGGAATCAAGATTGGCTAACAGAATGAACCAGGACTGGGTAGTGCAATGGAAAAGGGAAGAAGCCCTGCCTGGGGGGGGGGCAGTTGTGGGGGATGTGGCCCTACAGCTGCCAGGGCATTGGATCTGGGAGGCCAGCCTGGAGGTGGAGGCAGACCAGCATCCATGGTGGTAGGGATGGGGGAGTGGCGACAGCTGTGGGTGACGAGACAGAGGATAGTGAGTTGGATCTAGGGTACTTGAGAGGTCAAGTCAACCTCAGCCCTTCCAGGGGTTGGGATTTAAACTGCATCTACATCCCTAGAGAGCTGGGTGCAAGACAATCCCCTCCTGCCCTAACCTCATCCTGGGAAGAGGGGGAAGCCCTAGGTTCCCTGCCTATCATGCCATTTAGTAATGCTTGCTCTGGGCCCCTGAATCTTTCCCTGGGTCCTCTACAGCTGGGGTGGGCACTCTGATCCCTGAGCTCCAGCTCCTGCACTTGGAGGGCTGATAAGAGCACACCCTCCACATGCCTATGATCTCAGTGTGAGGAGTTTGGGGCTCTGGCATAAGGCTCTGTCTCAACCCCCCGCCCCCAGACAACACATCTGAGGTCAAGCCCTCAGTTCCCATAGGCTGCCCTGCCTGGGCTAAGTTTGCTTCCCAGCCCTAGCTCCTTGGCAACTAATCTGATTGACATACAGACACCTAGAGAAGTTGAGTGCATCTGCTGTTAGTGCCACTGTGGTAGGCCACACCCATATTTTCAGGAACCTCTGGAAGGAGCCGAGGGTCTATTAAGTTCAGACTGAGTCAAACCCAACTGGGCCACATGCTCAAAGGTGTGTGCCACCATGGCCGGCACAAAGCCTCCATATTAACAGCTAGATTCCAAGTTGGGAGTAAGCTCCCTGTGACTTCCAGCTGTCAGAGCTGCCTGGGGAGGTGGTCCCCACTTAAGGGTCTAAAAGAGTCCTGTGAGTAGCATGCTGATGAAGCCAAAGGTCCCTAGAGGGCCACACAGCCTGGGTTTGAATGTCAGCTTTACAACCCGTCTGTGTGACCCTGGATGCATAGCTGAGCCTCTCTGGGCTGTAATTGGGTCATCTGTAAGTCAGAGTTGCTGCAGAGACCAAATGAGCTGGGCCTGTGAAACTTGGGGAATGTTAGCATGTATGTTTGGCGGCCATCAATATTGTCATGGCAAGAGTGGGCATCTGCTGGGACTCCAGAGCAGTGATCTGCCAGAGGAGTGCCCAGCTGGAGGTTGTTACTGGGGTTCTCAAGTCTAGAGGGAAAAGTTTAAAAAAAAAAAAAAAGCAGCAGTGGCTTCAATGCACATCTAGTGCTAGGAGGAGCCAAGGAGCCATAGCTAGCCTGCATGGTCCTCAGAGGTGGGGGAGGGAAAGACCCACCCACTTCCTTTGGGTCAAGTGCAGCCCTCACCAGCCTGAGCATGGACTGGTGTTCCCATTCTGTGAATAGCCTACACCATGGTGCATAGTAGTCCGTGAGGCCACCGTGGACTCTTAATTCAAGGCCTATTGGAGCTTGTTCCCCAAGAGATGAGGTCTGGGGTGCTCCCTCTGCCCTGGCCATCCTGGTTGTGCCTCCTCACCATCTGCGTTTTCCTTTGTGGCGGGGCACACACCCCTAGGTGTCTAGCCACATACAGGTTCTAGCTCGGAAGAAGGTCCGGGAATACCAGGTTGGCATCAAGGTATGTTGGGTGCCTCTTCCGGTGCCTCGCCCATTCTGCACACTGCGGGCCTCTGCCTTGGCCGGCTCTCCAGCCCACAATACCTCTTCTCTGGCCTGAGCTCTCTTGCCCCCTTCTCTTCTGTCCTTTGCTCTCTTTCCCTACAGGTCTCTAGTCACTTGCAGGTTCTAGCCACGAGGAAGTCTCAGGAGGTTCAGTCCAGGCTGAAGGTATGGCCCCTGCCACTTGGCCTTGCTCTGCCCAGAACAGGGCTGAGGAACTGAGAGGGCCTGAGACACACAAGTGACAGCAGTAAGTCCGAAAGCTCTGAGGTGTCTGGTGTGGCAACACTTTAACCCCAGCACTCAGGCAGAAGCAGGCAGGTCTGAGTTCCAGGACAGCCAGAGCTACACAGGGAGACTCTTGCCTCAACAAAACCAAAAACAGGCTGTCAGGGTCCCAGGCAACAGCTCTGGTGACTGGACAGCAGGTGGCCGGTGTCTGAGAGCTACTGCAGCCTGCCTCTCCTCTGTCCACCTTGCTCTTTCCTCCTGACTGTCGCTTGCTAATGGCTTGGGGACTTGAGGGAGGATATGAAGGGTGTTGGCTGGTAGCTCAGTAGAGGCGGGAAGAGTTCTGAGACTCAGTTAGCACTTCAAAATCTGCCCTGTTTTCCCTGCCTCTAAGTCTCCAAAGTCTGTGGCTCAGAACAGACCCCATGGTCCTATCTTTTTCTTCTTCATCCTTACCTTGCCAGGGTACCTCCTAGCTGGCAAGCACTCCCTCTTGGGGTGGGAAGGGCACCCACCTGCCTCTTGGCTTCCTTGGGAACTAACAGCCAGTGCATGGGGTGGGGTGGATTGCAAAAAAAACCCATGTTCCTTCTTCACAGAGCCCTGGTGTATCTAATCCTCTGTCCCTTTTTCCTTCACAGGCCATGAACCTGGTAAGTGGCCCTGTGCCCCTGGGACTGAAACAAAACCATAGAAAAGTCACAATTTGAGTATCCAGGAGGAGTGTTCAGTGTCTATGCAGATGCTTCAGGCACGCTGCATTCAGTATGAGGGAGCGCCCAGAACTAGTTCCCTCAGGGTCTGCGAGGGACTACCTACTGTGGCATAGAATAAAGTAGTATTTCATTCTGTGGGCTGTGCCCAGAAAGGACACAGGCACCAGGACATTGGGGCTCAGAGAGTAGACACTACTGAATCCATAGCAGAGCGGGACATAGAATTCCTACCTGAAGAGCCTGGCTCAGACCTCATGTGACCACTATCCCCCAGGACCAGGTCTCCAAGGACAAAGCACTCCAAAGCATGGCATCCATGTCATCTGCACAGATTGTCTCTGCCAGCGTCCTGCAGAACAAGTTCAGCCCACCCTCCCCTTTACCCCAGGCTGTCTTCTCCACCTCCTCAAGGGTATGGATGCACTGGGCTGGGGGCTGAGCTGGGGTGTGGCTAGGGTTCCTGAATACTGAGGCCCTGGTTTTGTCCACAGTTCTGGAGTGGCCCCCCTCTGCTAGGACAACAGCCTGGACCATCTCAGGAGTAAGTATTGCCTGTGTCTATGCATTCTTCCGTCCTTCCTGAGCCCTGTCTCTCACCATTACCTTCCCTGTATTTGTCTCCTTCTTGGAGAACCTAAGATAATCCCTGGTTACTACCAGGTAGTGAAGAAAAGAAAGCTCAGGGATCTCAGTTCTGAAAATATACTGATAGCCACAGTGAATAGCTTTTTAAGGATAGGAGGGGCATGTATCACCAGCTGTGGGATGCAGCTGGATGCTATCAGAGTTAAATCATGGAGGAAACAAAGGTGGTGGGCTAGCCTGTGAGTATGCACTTTGAGGTATCTGCTGAGGAGATACAGGAGAGGGACTGGGCAGGTGAAGGGTATCTGAACCTCTAGCCCACCATATTCCTGTCCACAGCATCAAGCCCTTTGCCCAGCCTGCCTACCCCATCCAGCCTCCCCTGCCACCAACACTCAACAGTAAGTGTCCCCCAGGCCATCTAGCACCTGATACCTCTAGCATCTGCCCTTCTGTTTGGGACCTGTGTGTATTTGTACTGGGGTGGGTGGCAGCTATAGGGGTTTGATAGGTTTCTATTCCCTGTACAGAAAGACACCAAAATCTTAACAGCATTGCACTCTAGGTTGTGGCATTGTTTTGGTGTGTAGGCTGTGCACTGCACACCCCCCCCCCCCAGAGTAAAGCCCAACCCTGCTGTCCACTAAGCATGGACAGATGAGCTACGTCTTACCCTTTTAGGTTATGAGTCCCTGGCCCCACTGCCCCCAGCCCCTGCCTCTTCTGCCTCTGCGCCTGCGTGGCAGGACCGCACCATCGCCTCTTCCCGGCTACGCCTCCTGGAGTACTCTGCCTTCATGGAGGTGCAACGGGATCCTGACACGGTACTGTGGGGATGGTGGGGAGACTGGCCTGTAAAAGAGCACCCAGATCAGGGTCCGTGGGCCTGCAGGTCAACCCCTGCAGGCTGACCCTGGTTCGGCCCTCCCCACAGTACAGCAAACACCTGTTTGTGCACATCGGCCAGACAAACCCTGCCTTCTCAGACCCACCGCTGGAGGCGGTGGATGTACGACAGATCTATGACAAGTTCCCTGAGAAGAAGGGGGGGCTGAAGGAACTCTACGAGAAGGGGCCCCCAAACGCCTTCTTCCTTGTCAAGTTCTGGGTGAGGCTTCTCCCAACCCAAGATGGGCAGCTCGCCCAGCTCCTTGCCTCTGCTCTCCTCCATGACCAGCGGGCCCCTGGGCGGGACCTGCAGGCCTCTGGGTAGGTGGGACTGGAGGCATGGAGGTAGGGAAGGAGGAGGCTAGCCTCTGGTCGCTGCAGCACTTGGTACCCTCCCCCCCCCCCAGGCTGACCTCAACAGCACAATTCAAGAGGGCCCTGGAGCCTTCTATGGGGTCAGCTCACAGTACAGCTCAGCTGACAGCATGACCATCAGTGTCTCTACCAAGGTGTGCTCCTTCGGCAAGCAGGTGGTGGAGAAAGTAGAGGTGAGTGGCGGCCTGAGGAGGTGGGTGGCGGGCACAGACAGGTCTGTGATGCGCAGTGACGCTGCTACTGCACTCTGTAGACCGAGTATGCCCGCCTGGAGAACGGCCGCTTCGTGTACCGCATCCACCGCTCACCCATGTGCGAGTACATGATCAACTTCATCCACAAGCTGAAGCATCTACCTGAGAAGTACATGATGAACAGCGTGCTAGAGAACTTTACTATCCTGCAGGTGCGAGGCTGTCTGGTGGTTCGGCTCAGTCCGAACCAGGATAGCTGGGAGAGGTGCGCATGCGCACAGCACTGCCATTTTCTCTTCTTCCTCCTTGCCCCCACAGGTGGTCACAAGTCGGGACTCGCAGGAGACCCTGCTCGTCATCGCTTTTGTCTTCGAAGTCTCCACGAGCGAGCACGGGGCACAGCACCATGTCTACAAGCTTGTCAAAGACTAGCACACCTTTGACTCCACAAGGGTGCAAGGCAGACTTGTACACACCTGCCTGCCTGGCCTCCCGGGGTGTGGGTTGGGGGACTCACTCACCCATGGGTTTCAGGCTGGAACCCAGGCCCTAGTACACACGCTCCCCGCCACTGTTCAGCGCTTTATTGGAGAGAAGAGGGTTCCATGGTGATGTGGCCTTCCTGGTCATTGACCCCACAGTTGGCTGGGCTCCACCTGGCCTCAAGTGATGTAAGAGTTGGGGGTCGGAGGGCACCTGCAGGCATGGTCTCTGCCCCCGAGGGAATGTGGGAGTAGAATGGGAGCCAGAGGGGCAGCTAATTAGGCTGCCCTGGTACAAGGAGTCAAGGTAGGGGCTGAGCTAAGAAGGGCCCAGACTTTGTACCTCCTGGGTACCAGCCTTTTCCCAGCCCTCTTGCACAGTAAGCCTGGATCTCCTGTATCAGACAAAGTGCCAAGATGGAGGTCCACAGAACTGGGCAGAGCTAGAGCCTAGGTTCAGCTACCTCCCTACAACAGGCTACAGGAAACATCCTGACCAGTGGTACAGCTGGGCTGGAGGCTGGACAGGGTGCTGCCCTGTTCTCCCCAGCCTATCAGCTAGAAGGCACCCCTTCAACGTCCTAAAGACAGGAGGCAGGAACTTGAGGAGCCCTTGTCTCCTCCCCTGCTTTATCCAGGCCCCAGGGTCAACTGTCCTGTTCCCAGGTCACCTGGTATTTATGAGTTTCAAATGAAGTACTGTGCCCCTCTCCTCATCCCGCCCGCCCGAGCTTTCCTGAAGGTTTTCACCGTTCACAACTGCTCAGGCCCACCTCCAAACCCCACCTAGGTTTTATAACATGTATTATATTTTTGTGTATTTTTAAATCCAGCTGTGATGGGCTATGTCATAAATGGCTCAAGAAGGCAGGGGCCCGACTTTAGGCCTGACTCCTGCTAAAAAAATTAAAAGCTGTTTCTGGGTCAGGACAGTTGTGTCATGTGCAACCTTCCACTCTGGCACATCACCTCACTCATGCACACCCAGCACCTGTGGCCCCTTGTGCCCTCCAGCATCACCTTAGTCTCTGGACAGTTGCTGCTAGTCAAGCCAGCAGGGTTCAGAGGCCTGGGAACTTCTGCTGCCAAATGTGTAGATTACCAGGCTGGACCATCTACTGAAGGGCTTTAGCAGTCACTCCTAGAGATGCCCAGGCTTTACTAGGAACAATAGCAGCAGCTGATCCCTAAGGTCCTCCCTCATGGAGGAGACAGAAGGAAGCCTAAGACAGGTGAGGGCATCATACAGCACCATCATGCAGTGAGCTCTGAGTGGGGACCCCTAAATACCCCCTGCAAATACCTACTGTTACACCCGGATTCAAAATGGACCTTCCCTTTAGACTGCCCCTTCCCAGGCAAGCCTGTTCTAGATCATTCTGATGCACCCTTCAGGCTCACAGGTGAGGGTTGTGTACTCCTTCCCCTCATCAGCTGTGGAGGTGGGCATTGATCCCAAGAGGGGCTGGCCCAATCACTTGAAGGCCTTAAGGCTGGTGTTGCCTATAGAGGGCCCAGAGCCTCACTTGTGTTCACCATGGGTGACAGGATTTTACTTTGGCCCTGGGTTAACTACAGCTAAGTGCTTGAATCCAACCTTTGCCCATCACTACCCCTAAAACCTGAAGACCTTTCAACAGCCCAGACAAAAGAAAATGCACACCTCACCTTCAATAGCACTCAATTAGCTTTGAGTTGTCCTTCCTGGGCCACAAGGACACCAGCTGCTTGGCACAAAGGAAATAACTCCTCTGTCCTGAGGTTGTATCTGACTGAGCTCACACACCCAAGCAGGCAGAGACCAAGGGATGGTAGCACTGAGGTTTATTGATTGGGGCATCCTAGTACAGACGCTGGGGCTTGCCCATGGTACTCTTGATGTACAGAGCCCGCACGTTCTGCCAGTTCTTCTTGAGCAAGGACACCAAGAAATTGACAGCCAAGTGGATGTTGTAAACAAGCTCATCATCCGTCATCTTCACATGGCCGACAGCAACAGCCAGACACAACACCTGCATGGAAGTCAGGCTAGTGAACATCTATGTGGCAGGAAAGCCCTGGCCCTCTTGCCCCCAAAGGGTTAGACCAAGGCTACTCAGACCTTTTAGTCAACCATGCTGTGCTCAGTTCTTGAGCTTAGCTAACCTCCCCCCCAAACCCACAAGCCAGACCGACCTTCTTCATCTGGAACTTGATAGTAGATTTCACCTCATCAACTTTAGCCACCATGTTTTCATTGTGTGTCAGCAGGGAAGGGAACTTGCCAGCCTTATTCAGGCCTGGGCCCAGAATACGTGGGATCTGCTTGATGAGGGACTCAGAGGCCAAAAAGGCATCATACTTCTTGGCTGTAAGAAGAAGCCATGGGCTATTTAAATCCAGGCCAGAAAAAGCAGGACTAATATTTTTATGGCCACCAAGCTGCCTTTCCAGACCCTGCATTACTACACATGACCAACCAACAGGACTGAGGGGCTGTGATGGCTGCCACCTGTTGTAATCCCAGCACAGATCACAAGCCAGTTGAAGCTAAACTTGGTGGTGCAGGCCTTTATAACCCTAGCTATCTGAGAAACGCGAGGCAGGACTGCCAGTATAGTGTGCAGCCTAGGCGATTCAGTGAAGACTGAATATAGCTCAGTAGCGGATACAACCCTTAGCACTTCCAAGGCTTGGGCAAAAGTACGTGGGGGTTAAGACAGTTGTAAGAATCAAAGCTGGAGAAGGGGGTTGAGTGGTGGTCCCAAGGTAAGGTACCACGTGGGAGAGCATGGCCGGAGAGCAAAAGAGCAGGGGTCCTTTACACCTGCCTGCAGTCTAGTACTCATGGAACCCTGGGGATGACCAGAGTACTGCCCGAGTACACTCTGCCAGCTGACGGGAGGCCAGCATGTAATGCCTAAATCCTTACATTCATCTGTAAAAGGTCTAGTGTCTACTGTGTTCATGACAGTGGGGAGAAGGAAGCCTGCAACAGGGTCAACGCACCCCACAGTAACCTCATTTACTTAAATGCTTATGTCTGACACCACAGCTAACCCACACACCCAGGTGGTTAGCATCAACTACAAAAAGCCCAATGGCTGGGTAGAGGCAACTCGACACACGTGGGAAGGGCCTCAACTGAGTGAGGCTTCCATCAGGTGGGCCGTGGGGGCGCTCCCTGACCGTCCCCCCGTGAGGCCCTCTGGGAATGGCACCACTCCTGGGCAGGCGGTACCACCTTCCACAGCGGCACTTGTGAGCCCCCTAACACCGGGCCGGCCGCACGTACCCAGCTTTTTGACCAGCTTCTTGTTCTTATTGAGCTTCTTGAGCGCCTCGATGTCCATGTGGGGGATCTCCACGGCCTTGGCTTCATCGCAGTGCTGCTGGTCCCCCAGGACACACACGGAGAACTTGGGGCGAGGAGTGGACTTCAGCCTGCGTTTGTGGGAAGGACACAACGGGTCACAACCAGTCCCGAGGGCCTGCCCGGGAGGCGGAAGGCGGCGGGGACGCCGGCAAGCCCCGACCGTGTCTTACCCGGAGGTGTCAACACTAGCCTGGCTTCTCAGGCTAGCCGGCGGGCTCGGCCGAGGCCTCCCCACGCCTCCCCTCTTGTTTAAAGACCCAGGGTGGGGGTCCTTCCAGCCAGCCTGCCCGGAGCAGGACGCCCGAACTACCCTGGCCCGTCAGTGCCCTCGTGTCCTGCTCGGCCAGAGCGGCAGGGGCGCCAGGCCACACGGGGACACTGAGGGGCTGGGTGGGGTCAGAGCGGTGTGCCAACCTGACGGTGCCCGAGAAACGTTTGTCCTTCTGGGGGTCGTAGTTCTTCAGGCTGATCTGCAACTCCACCGTTTCCAGAAACCTAAGCGAGAGGGGCGACGTCGGCGGGGATGCTCGCCCGCCCGCCCGCCCGCCCCACGCCCGGGGGACCAGCGGGGTGCTGGCCCGTGCTTACTTTCGGCGCTTGCGCTGGTTCCCGTGCAGGACTTCGCGCACCGCCTCGTACAGGGTGTCGCGGGACACTTTGCTGCTGCAGGGGGGAGACAGGGGCGCTCAGGGCCTGCCATGACGGACCCCGGGGGCCAGGGGCCCCGCGCGGACGGCAGGCCCACAGCCCGCCGGGGGAGCTCGCGACGCGAACAGCCCCAGGGACAGCCTGCGCGCCGAGCGTCAGGGTGCCCGCGGGACAGCCGGTGCGCGGATGGCCGCGGATAGCACCCCAACAACTAGCCACCTACCTCATGGCTGCGGAGGCCGCGGGAACCGGAAAAGAGAGCAGAGAGGTCTACGCTTGCGCTCAAATAGCGATCCTGTTCTCGCGAGAACTGCTCGTTCGTTCAGCGCTTAGCCATACCGCCGGAGGAGCGCTGATGTTTGCGGCCACTGGGGGGCGCCATCACGCGACTGCATCGCGAGCAGAGCGCTAGGACCAGCTGGCTTTGGGACCGTGTGGGTTCTAGGCTGCTATTTGACTCCTAGCTCAGGGCTTGGCTCTGGAGCTGGGCAATGGGATCGGATTTCTGCCGACTCCCTATCTTCTGCCTGACCTATGTCTGACACAGTCACCGGAAGAACCGTCTTCCTTCATCGCCAAATTTGGTGATGAGCCCTGGAGAGCCGCTGTGCAGCTGCCCCCACTAACCCGTGCTTGTGCAAGAGTCCAGCCCCACTTGTGGGCAGAGGCACTGATGATGGGAATAGCTCGAGGAAACGATCCCTGTTGAGATCTGCAGAACTGAGAAGGTCTTGTGACTAGATTAGGATCAGATGTGCATCATTTAAGCGCAAGCCACCACCTGGGAGAAGGCGCCCACCAGTCTGCCATGGCCTGCTGCATAAACCACTCTTGATTCAGCCTCCAGGCAAGATGGACTTTGGACAAATGCCCCCGTCTTTTCTCAATTAGTTGGCATTTCAGACAAAGTTGTCCTTCTTGCCTGATACCCCCTCCTCTGTCTTTGCAGTTAAAAGAGAGGAGTGTGGGGTCAAGGGTCCGTACAGGGAGCCTCCAGATCTGGGGTGACTCACTGGGATCTTTGAGGAGGCAGGCAAGCTCTCTGGTCAGCACCCACCATTGACAGGGATAGGTCTGAGAACGGTTCATCTTGTGTCAGGACACATCAGGCACAATAAGGAAAGTTTGCACAGGATTAGAGTGGACCTCAGTGGTGCTTTGCGCCCCTTACTCCTAACACCAGCTTGTTCTCAAATCCAGGCTTCATCTCTAAGCTGACTTCCCACGTCCCTGAAACAGGGACTCAGGACTTTGGAGGAAACTGCGGCCTGAGATGCACCCAGAAAGTAGTTCCCCACCTACCGCAGGGCTAAGCTGGGAGGGTGCTGTCTCAAACTATTCCTAATTCAGTAACATCTGTGTGCTAAGTTCTTGGTTTTTTTTTTTTTTTTTTTTTTTCTTCCCCAGACAGGGCTTCTCTGTGTAGCCCTGGCTGTCCTGAAAGTCACTATTTACAGCAGACTAGCCTCAAACTCAGAGGTCGCCTGCCTCGACCTCCTTAGTGCTGGGATTAAAGGTGTGGGCCACCAGACTCAAATGTGTGCTAAATGTTTTGTGATCCAGGTACCTGCACGGGTGCTGTGGGAATACAGGTGTCAAACAGGTCTGCAGCAGGCACCATGTTGTCTTTTCTGCACTCTTCTCAGTCCATGGAGGCCCAGGCATCCTTCAGAGCCCAGCTCTAATGTTAACTGTGGCTGGAGATGTAGCTCAGTGGTAGAACATTAGCCTAGCAGGCACCGGACCCTGGTTTCCATGCCAGCATTAACACAAAAACAAGACCTCCCTCAACAGTAAGTAGTCACCCAGGCGGCCACAGGCCTGGACACTCTACAGGTAGTTCTGACAGGCCTGCTGTGGCGGGAGTGTAACATATGACCCGACTGACTTCACAATTTCACTTAACAGCCATCCCCTCATCCTTTCTCACTGAACAGGGGTGGGTGTGGGTGAGGGAATGAAGGAGGTTCGGGGGTCCAGAGCTATTGGGAAAGCAGGTACTGCTTCTAAGAATGTAGATGCCTTTGTTTATCTGTAGCCATTCCTTGTACATTTGTGTTGTGCAGTCATTAGTACTCTGGGATACAAACATGACACTGCACAAATGTGGAGGGCACAAGGCAACCTGGGATGACAGTCCTCGCCTTCCGTGTTGTCTCAGGCTGAGCTTTGGGGGTCTCCTGCCTTTACCTCCCAGCTTTGGGGGCCTCCTGCCTTCACCTCCCAGGTTTGGGGGCCTCCTGCCTTCACCTCCCAGCTTTGGGGGCCCTCCTGCCTTCACCTCCCAGCTTGCTGTAACAGCAGGGTTGACAGATACAGCTTTACAAGGGCTCTGGAGATTCAAATTAAGGTCCTAATGCAGTCAGCAAGCTCTTTACCTATTCAACCATCTCCCAGCCACACCCACAGACTCTTCTCATGGAGCTTAAACTGACCTTAACACTGTGTGGTTGAAGATGACCTTCAATTCTCAATCCTCCCGAGTGCTGGGATTGGAAGAGCTTTTTCCTTTATTAAAAACTATTACAAAATTATTCAGTTCAGAAACAAACAAAAAGGGAGGTTCACAACACCTGAGCACAAAAAGAGTCACCCCAGGCTCTCCCAGGACCCCACCCATCCCCAGCTGGTCCTCTGCCATCCCTTTATTGTGATCAGGAATGGCAGGCATCGTGGAGCCTACAGCTTCCTCTCTGAAGTCAAGATGGCTCCGAGCAGCCAGGAGTTTTGGGCAAGAGACAGTTGACTTGAGAGCTGGCTTAGTGTGTATTCCTGGGCAAGGAGTCAGGGAACCATGCCCTTGTGGGTGGTCAGTGGGCCAGATGTCTCAGCGCTGCCTGAAGGGACTTCTTCAGGAAAGTAGTGTTGGGCTCAAGGGCCACAGCCAGGTCCAGGCTCTGCTGTTCTGAGATCTGGAGAGGGAGTCAGGCTAGGACTGCAGCAGCCAGTTTCCTGTCTGCTTACCACCCCATAGGCCGGCCCTGCTGATGGAGAATGGAAGCCAAGGGCAGGCTCCTGAGCAATAGAACCTTACTACTTCTTGAGATGAGGCAAGCACCAAGAGGACCTGGATTCTAGCAGCTGTAGAGCTCACAGCAGGCTCTGGTGCTAGGTGGAGATTCAGGTGTGTCTCACATAGGCCTCCCAACCCTCCCAGGCTCCAGGTGACAGAGAGGTTCAGGGATACTCCACCATGAATTCTCTATCTTCTCTTGAGGTTCAGGCTCCTCATCTCCACGCTCCAATCCCCACACCTCAGCAGACAGAGGCAAAGCCCCTCCCCAGCTTTGGTCTCTGCAGGCTCCATTCTCCTTTAGAGGGGGGGGCTCTTCTCCAGTGATCTAGGAAGTCTCTGGAGGACCAGCACCCAAACCTCACAGCACACACAGACTGAGAGCCCCACTTTCCTGGGATCATGGAATCAACAGATGCACCTGTGTGATGGCCGACCTTGGCTGTCACCAGATACAGCTGGGTGAAGAGGGAGTCTCCACTGAGGAACTGCCCCCATCACTTGGGCCTGTGGACCGTTTCTGTAGATAGCTAGATAACGTAGGAGGGTCAGCCTACTGAGGGCAGTGCTACCCTGGCCTGTATAAAAAAGTAGGCTGAGCCCAGCACAGGGGCCCAGGCCTTTAATCCCACTACTCAAGAGGCAGAGGCAGGAGGGTCTCTATGAGTTTGAGGCCAGCCTGGTCAACATATAGGGTTCAGGTTAGCCAGAACTACAGAGTACAGCAAGCAGGAAGACCTGTATTCCAATCCCAGTACTACATAAACCAGGCCATAGCAGTGTACCCTATAATCAATCCTAGCACTCAGAAGCAGAGCAAATCTTGAGCTACATGAGATCCTGTCTAAAAAGAAATCAAAACAAAAAGCTCTCTGGCTTATGACCTGCAGGGCCTTCTGAACATGCTACCAGGTAATGTGAGCTAATCTCTTAGCCTCTACCCCTCGTCTGTAAAATGGGGCTGCTACACAGACACTGTGGCACAAATTAAACTCCAGCCAAATAGCAGATCAAGGCCACAAGATGACAAGCCCAAGGGGACAAACCACCTCAAAGCAAAACCAACAGAAAGGAGCTAACAGTGTCTGAGGGCTGATGCATAGCACAGGCTAGCAAGTCCACAGTCTCAGCCACCTCGGCCTCTCACACATAGCCCAGGCTGGCCTGCAATTCAGAGACCCACCTGCCTCTGCCTCCTAAGTGCTAGGATTAAAACAAGTATACAACACCACTGCCTGGCTGGCTCTCACACTGTTAGCTTCTGACTGTAATGAGCTACTTGCAGATCCCTGGGAAGGGCAGTCCTGGCTCACACGGTATCCCTTGCCAGGAACATCCTCCTACCAACTCCAGCCCTTGGCCACCATTGCTTTTTGTTTTGGGATGGGAGTGAACCTCTCACATAGCTTGGGCTGGCCTTGAGCTTCAAATCTCCTGACCTTCACCTCCCAGGCACCCAGATTACATGTGCTGTCACACCCAGTCTACAAAGTATTAGGAACTGACCCTAAGGTTTTGAGCATGGTGGGCAGGCACTCTGCCAACTGAATGACACCCTGGACTTCCCCAACTTTTTAAACATTATTATTTGGGGGGGGCACAGGGTCTCTACATAGCTCTGGCTGCCCTTGAACTCACTATGTAAACCAGGCTGGCTGCAAACTCAGAGAGATCTGCCTGCCTCTCTCTACCTCCTGAGTGCTGGGACTAAAGACACATACCACTATGCCCATCTTTATTTTTGTATTTTGTATTTGTCTCACTATGCAGCCCAGACTGGCCTTGAACTTACAGCAATCCTCCCTGCTTCAGTCTGCCCCACACACTCACTACCCCCAGTCCCAATCCCCAATAAGGCTTAGCTGCCCTCCTCCTCTCTCTCCAAATGCTGCATGGGTCCTCACAAGCATGGCAACTGAGGGGAGGGGTCAGCTCAAGGGGAAGGACAGCATGATGCTGTTCTAACTTCCCAATGGCCACATTGGGCAATACTGGCCCGACCAATGAGCCCCATCGACACTCACACTCGCCTGGAACTTGGTCATCACTGTCAGCATCAGCTTGGCGTAGGCCATGGAGGTGGTGGCTGCTGGACCCTCTTTGCAGAGCCTTTGCACCAAGACGCTGAACACCTCAGAGGTCATCTCCACCTGCAAGGGGACATGGGACAGCATCATAAGGCCAGTCCTGGGCTCAGCCCCCAAGCTCTCCATCTCGTAGCAGGTAGCTGAACAGAGTGCTCTAGAATGGTCTAGAAATTCCTCCACAGACCCATGTGTTGAAGGCTCTGTCCCAGGATAAAGGTGACTGGGGGACTGTCTAAAGGGGATGGTGCTAGCCTGATCCCTATTCTTTCTGCTTCTCAGCAACCATGACTTGAGCAGCCTACCCCCCAACACACACTCCTTCTACCATAACGTGCCTCATATGGGCACAGGAGCACCGAGCCAAGCCCGGGGAACTGTGAGACCAGGCCAAGCCAAAATTCAAGACAGGGTTTCTATTTATTGTTTTGGAGCCTGTCCTGGAACTCGCTCTCTAGACCAAGCTGGCCTCAAACTCACAGAGATCTGTTTGCCTCTGCCTCCTGAGTGCTGGGATTAAAGGCATATTCCACCAACTCCCAGCAATCAGGTCAACCTTTTCTCCTACTATTTACCTCAGGTATTTTATCACAGTAAGGGAAAGCTAACATACCAAGTTAAGCCCCAGTCCCCACAACTGGACGACAAGGCTCAAAGTCACTGAACACTATGAAAAAGATAAATGAAATAGCAGAGACATGGTCTCACAAAATGTAACTGCCCTTGCAAAGGCACTGATCAGTACTCTGGGGTAGCTAGTGACTCTAGCCTGCCTCAGTTTTAACCCTTAACAACAGGACGCGGTGAGGTCCTGAGGGGCACTGCCAACTCTTCATAATAAGAAATGACCACTAGCATCGGGTGGCACTCTGCACTTCACCCATCGTGTTGAAATCCCACTGCAGTTCACATGGTCTCCTATAGTGCAATATCTGTACACTGTGTGAAGATGTATTGTTGTGATTGGTGTAGTAAAAAGTTGAACAGTCAATAGCTAGGCAGGAAAGTATAGGTGGGACTTCTGGGCAGAGAGGGAATTCTGGGAGGAAGAAAGGCAGAGTTGCCAGCCAGACATGGAGGAGACAGGATGGGTAATATGGAGATGAAGTAACGAACCATGTGGAAGAACACAGATCTTAAAAAATACAGGTAATTTTAAGGTATAAGAGATAGTTAGGAACAAGCCTAAGCTACGGCTGAGCTTTCATAAGTAATAATAAGTCTCTGTGTCATCATTTGTGGGATGGAGGTCCCGATGAGAAAAGTACTGCTACAGTGTTCTCTCTTACATAAGGAGGGCTGGGCGTAAACAGCCAGGGTTAATCACTGTAATGTTCCATCTTCACCAGCCAACTTGAATGGGCTTAGAATCACCATGGAAACATACTTCTGGGTGTGTCTATAAGGGTGTCTCCCAGCACCAAAGAGCGTCTGTGAATGTAGGAGCCACCACTATCCCATGGGCTGGGGTCCCCTAGCAGAACGAACCCAGGACTCATCTCTTTGCTTTCTGAATGTGGACAAAGCCCTAGGCTCAAGCCCAAGCCTCTCCCAGTGACACAGACTGTATCCTTCAACTGTGAGCCAAAACCACAGCAAGAAAAGTAATCAGTTGCCTAAAACGCGAAAACAAGAGAAGCCAGGAATGGCGTACAACAATAATCCAAGGACTCAGGGCAAGATGGGCAGGAGTCAAGGTCTTTCTACATAGAATTCAAGGCCAGGCTGAACTTTTTTTTTTTTTTTTTTTTTTGGTTTTTCGAGACAGGGGTTTCTCTGTATTGCTTTTGCAGCCTGTCCTGGAACTAGCTCTGTAGACCAGGCTGGCCTCGAACTCATAGAGATCCAACTGCCTCTGCTCCAGAGTACTGGGATTAAAGGTGTGCGCCTGGTGAGACCCTGTCTCAAAATGATAGTGTGACAGTTTGAACATAACTGGCCCCCATAAGCTCATAGGAAGTGACACTATTAGGAAGTATGGCTTTGTTAGAGTACACATGGCCTTGATGAAGGAAGTGTGTCACTCTAGAGGTCTCATATATGCTCGAGCCACTCCCAGTATCTTAGTTCACTTCCTGTTGCCTACACAAGAGGTAGGGCTCTCAGCTCCTTCTCCAGCAGCACCATGTCTGCCTGCACGCTGCCATGGTCCACCAGGATGATAATGTGCTGAACCTCTGAACTGTAAGCCAGCCCCAATTACATGTTTTCTTTTATAAGAGTTGCTGTGGTTATGGTGTCTCTTTACAGCAATAGAAACCCCTAAGACAAATAGTAATAATAACACTATAAGGATGGGGAATTTTAGGTGCTAATTTAGATAAATGTCAAAATATACTAACTACTAAAAGAGAATAGGACTGGGAATGGCTCCATTGATGGAGTTCTTACCTGGCATGCATGAAGTCTTGGGTTCAATCCCTTACATCATAAAAAATAGGGCATGGTGATGCATACCTGTAATCCCAGGTAGAGGCAGGAAGATTGGGAATTCAAGGTCACCCTGTACTACAAAGTGAGTTCAAGGCTACTCTGGGCTACAAGAGATCCTATCTCAAAAAAAAAAAAAAAAAAAAAAAAAAAAAGTAAAAAAGCAATGTACAGCCAGCCACCTATAGTGGCCCAGACCTATAATCCAGGACTCCGGGGACTCAGGTAAGACCATGGCCCTGTCTCCAAAACCAAGGGCTAGGACTACAGCTCTGAAGCAAAGTGCCTGCCCAGCGGCACTGAGACCCGAGCTCAAAACCCAGCTGGACACAAGAAAGCAAGTACAGGGGCCCCAGGGATGGTAAGCTTGAGCGTGAATGAGAAGCAGAGGAGGCCAGTTAAAGGGCTGCCGTCTAAACAGCAAACATGAGCGCTGTACATTTCTACTGTTTCTCTGCACTGGTGACAGCTAAGCACCAGGCAGGGGAGCTGGGAAGAAGGTTATTAACATTCCCTTCCCCTCTTGTTGAACTTTTAAAGCTATGACTCTGACCCAGTGTCACCCTCTACTACATACAGGTTCCAGGCTAGTCTGGGCCATGTGACAGATAAGGGGAGGCGCCAGTCCCAAGTCAGGTGCTACTAAGAGACAGAGCTAGGGGAACCAGGGGTCAGCAACATGTCATCACCTGCAGCAGCTGCAGGGGCTTTGGACACCTCTGGAAGGCAGCCCCCTGCTTGCCTGGGTCCTACGCAGCCCACTCACCTGCCGTTCCAGGAGTGCCTGCAACACCAGGAATGTCTCCTCCCTCCAGCCCAGCTCCAGGACCTGCCTGCACAGAGGGCACATGATGGTGACTAAGGGCTGCCCTCCACCACTGGGCCTGCAGTAGAGCGGGCAGCAGCCCCATGTGCAGCAGCTGCAGACCCCAGGCTCCAGTACCTCCCTGGATTTGACCACGCACTATTCGTGAAGTTTTTCTATGCAGAAAGTGGATGCTGTGTGGGACCTGAAGCTAAGTGGTCAGTGAGCAGTAGTTGGTGCTATTTGAGGCTGCTCCCTTTTTCTTTTTCCCTCCCCCGCCCAGACAGGGTTTCTCTGTATGACAGCCAGTTTATTTACTTTGGTGGTGCACGCCTTTAAACCCAGCATTTAGGAGGCAGAGGCAGGCAGATCTCAGTGAATTTAAGGCCAGCCTTGTCTACAAAGTGAGTTCCAGGAGAGGCTCCAAAGCCACACAGAAAAACCCTGTCTTGAAAAACCAAAAAAGCAATTAAATAAATAAATAAAAGATTCATAAGCTAGGCGTGGTGGTGCACACCTTTAGTTCTAACATTCCAGAGGCAGGCAGACCTCTGAGTTCGTGGCCAGCTAAAGATACACTGAGAAACCCTGTGTCAAAAAACCAAATAAATAAATAAAAGCACACTTGAACTTGAGTCCATCTGTCTAAGTCAATAAACAAGGTGGAGATGGAGCTCAGGTCTGACTCTGGAGCCAATGCTCTTAACCATGTTGGTGTGTCCCAGCTGAGCCCCTTCTGAGAGGGACACAGCCTTCTGTGTGCACTCCGATACGTCCCCAGTAAAGCTGAGGAAGATGGCCAGCAAGGACATGGGCCCAGTGGAAAGGGTACCGGGCAGGGTTAGCCCCCAGGGGCAGCAGTGTGTGTTATGCCATGGTGCATGTGTGAGTGTGTGCATGTGCGTGTATGCCTGTGCATATGTGCACGTGCACTAGCATACTGGGCCTCCAGTCCAGGGCCTCATGCAGGCTTGGCCTGGGGGAGGGTCAGCATCAAGGCCTGCACACTCACCCCAGAATCTGGACATGTATGTCTGGCTCTAGGGCCTCATCCTTTATGAGGGAGCACAGCACCTCTGTCTGCATGGGACCTGGGCCAAAGACAGGAGAGGAGAAAGTGCTGGGGAAAGGCAGAAAGCTGACAGGGACAGGATGCCCGCTGTCTGAGAACAAATTACTAGTTTTATTCACTGAACCCAACTCAGCAGGGCCCCAAGGGGTGAAGTGTGATGGGCACCAGGCTAGGCCTGGATCCGGGTCTGCAGTTACCCATCCCTGGGTCCTGGAGAAGGGGAACAAGGACTGCTTGGCAGACTGGGTAGGTGTACTTCACACAGAAGGAGATGAGGGCGACCCTGAGCAGCCTGGAGGCGGAGGCCTGCAGTGACAGGATCTAGTCACCAGAGAGAGGACAAAGTTACTTCTTCCCTTCAGGAAGTGTTTATCTCACACGTTTCAGAGGGCAACCCAAGCTACCAAGGAAAAGCCCTAAACTCAAAAGCCCCAGTTGGGGCCGACCTCTCAGCCCCTCCCAAACCCCCTTCCGGAGCACTCTGAGGGTCCCCATTAACCTTGGCCTCCTAGTGCCACCTGTACCCACCCGGTCAAGAAAGAGGCTCCTGGCCAACACACAGGCACTGCTGATGCTGAGGGCTGGTGTGAGACTCAGCAGGCAGCTGCAGAGCTGCAGGAGGCCTCCATCAGGCAGCTGGGGCAGCTGCAGCTGGCTGCAGAGCAACTCCATCTGGGGGAAACCAGGCCATTCAGTTGGCTCTGTGAGATACAAGCCCAGTGGGCAGGAGAGAGGGGAGAGCAAGGGCATGATGGGAGAGGGAGCAGGGTGGAGCAGGGAGAGCTAAGAAAGGATTCAGGGTGACCCTAGTAAAGAGGCAGAGGGTACGCCGCTGAGCTCCATGGGAGGTGGGGAAACGGGCAGGTGCACAGGGACAAGCCTGACTCACCTGGCTGGGACTGCATTCGTGGAGAAACTGCAGGTCCACTGGAGGCTCAGGTTCCAACCCCTCCAGACCCTGGGGAGGCAAAGCCTGAGTAAGGGTGGCAGAATACTTGTGATAGGTCACAAAGGCCATTCTTAGAAGGCACCACCAGAGGATTTCCTGGGGGATGATGGTGTATCCAAACTTGGCCCTGTGGTGGCTGAACTCAGATCTCCCTCCTGCTCAGCCCCATACCAAGCTCCATAATGGGGGCTTCCCTGGGTACAGCTAGGGTGGAGAGAAGCCAGAAGGAGGGCTGTGGTGAACAGGGAGGGCCAGTCACCTCCTGGAAGGCCTTCAGCAGCTGCTGCAGCCCGGGCACCCGGTCCTGTGGAGGACAGAACAGTCACTTTTTCTGTAGTGCAGCAGGACCTGCCGGCCCCCTGTTGCAGAACACACTGGGCAAGAGCTGGAAAAAAGGCTCAATGTTTAGACACTTCCCTTTCTTCCAGAGGAACTGGGATCAGCTCCCAGCACTCACACTGGGCTGCTCACAATCACCTGTAACTGGGTCTGGGAACCCTACAACCTCTTCGGGCTTCCATGTGCATCACATGGGGTGCACACACAGACAAGCAGGCACACATATAATAAATAAAACCTTTAAGGGGCGGGCAATGGGAACTGATGGGCAAAGGCAATTCAAGAGAAGCAGGGATGTGGCACCTCCATCTTACAAGATGTGTAGAGAAGGCTTGTGTGAAACCCAGCCCACTGCTTGGTCTTTTCTGCATCCAACCTCAACGGGATAGATAAGGCCCAGTACAGGCAGGCAGCCTGGCTGGATGTTGGCATGACCCATGCTATCGGGTAGAGCAGCAGGAGCAGAGTCCTTCAACCCCACATCCTATATCCTTAGGACAGGTGTTTCCAGCTCATAGTAACTCCTTCCCCATCTCCATCATTTTTTTGGGGGGGAGGCTCCCCTCCTTCCATCCTCCATAACTCACCCCTCATCCCTGCTCCATGTACTACTGAGGTCCCTGTTGGGATTGTGTATCAACCAGCTTTCACCATCATCCAGAAGGACCATTCTGAAACCAGCCCAAGCCACAGTACCTGGACAACTTTGGGCAACTCCACACTCTGAGCTGGACCCTTGGCCTCCTCCACACCTGGGCCAGTCTCAGGGATCTTGGCTTCAGTAGCAATCTGCTTTGGATCAGGTGACAGGCCTCCTGCATCTGATGGGGACTGCAATGACTCCAGCCTGGGTCTCTCTTCCTGGTCCTTTCCCTCCTCTGCCGCCAAACCTTGGAACCTTTTAGGGGCTCTCTCTGACTCAGGGCTGGCAGGGTCTTCCTCTGGTTCCTTGCGTTTGCCACACAGCTGCGAGTGCTGTTCCCCCTGTTCAGGAGCTGAAGCCTGAGCCAATTTCAACCCCCTATGCCCCTGGCCCAGCCGTCCACACAGGTCTCGGAGCTGTGACTGACAGCTTGTGGACAGTGGAGAAGCTCCTTCCACAGAGATTCTAATCCCCACATCCCTTCTTAGCAGCTCCCAGAGGGCATGGAGCCAGGCATCAGGGGTAGATGCTGTGTCTCGCTGGGCAAGCTGAAGCATAGAATGGAGGCCACTTTCAGGTAGCAAGGGTCGAACAGCCATGAGCAGGGACATCAGGTTCTTCCGGCACACCCCAGGCAACCGTAGCAACAGTGGGAGCCTACAAACAATCAGAGCTTTTTTTGTCTTCTGAGCTGGGGGGGTCTCATTATGTAATCCACACTGGCCTTAGCCTCCCAATCCTCCTGCCTTAGCTCCCAGGTGCTCTGATTACACACATGTGTTATATACTGTGACAGGGAAGGGGAGGTGATGCCTGAAGAGCTGCTGAGGAGAGGAAGCCAGGTATGGTGGTACACACCTTAAATCCCAGCACTTGTGACACAGACAGATCTCTTATGAGTCTGAGGACAGCCAGGGCTATATAGTGAGGCCCTCCCTGTCTCAAAAACAAAAGACAAAGAGGTGCTGAGGATGGAAAAGGAACAGCAGAGTCAGGAACACCTGACATACAAGAGGCGGCGCTAGAATCCAGAATGGGTTTCCCAGAGCAAATGGACACTGAGAAGGAACAGGGTAATAATAACCCTTCATCACACCCTTTACAGCATCCTAAGGGCCAGCTCCTGCAAGCAACTGGCATACCTGGCTTTTAAATTTGTGAGAAACAGACACTGTCAGAAGGAAAAACTAGTGTCAGAGTGAGGGGGGAAAAAGATGAATTTGTGGTCTAAGAGAAGCTACTCCAGCAAACTCCTAACCTCCAGGGTGTACATCATAACATGTACATCATAACTTCCAAACAAACAAACAAGAACATTTACACCGAAAAAAAACCAAAGTGGCAGAATGACACCTAAGCTCCTAGAAGGAATCCCTTGTCACTCACAAAAAAGAAGTTAAAATTCAAAGTCACTTAGAATTTATCAAAAACACTTAAATGGGAGGTGTATGTGTGGGTGTGGGTTACCTTTACTACCCTCAGGAAAGTGGTGAACACTGTTTTGAAATACTGACAATGAGCAAGCCTTATTCTGCCAGTGACCTAGCATATCAGTTTTAAGTAACATGTATTTAAAAAAAAAAAAAAAATACGGTTTCACCAGCTGTGCGGGCTTCCAACTTAAAGCAATTCTGTCTCAGCTTCCTGATTGCTGAAATCAGACCCCACACTGTATGATCTGTATTTTAACATAGGTGTCCATTTGACATAAGTACGCCTGTATTAGAGGCTTTGGTTTTTTTCCTGTTGTTTTGACCTTGTCCTTCTATGTAGTCCTGGCTGGCATTGAACTTGAAGGGATCCTCCTGCCTCTGCCTCCCAAGTGCTGTGATTACCAACATGCACCATCACAAGCCAGTTTTTATTTTTCTTTTGAGACTGGGTCTGAGAAGGCGTTGGACACCAGGCCGGCAACTCTTGACTTTTTTGTTTTTAAAGAGATGAAGTACGAAAACAAAATCAATTTGCCTGCACTTAGAATTATGCCTGATGAAAGGCGTGTCTCAGCCCAATGTCTGGGGCGCACGCTTGTAATCCTAGCACTCAGATGGCCGCAGGAGTTCGAGGCTAGCCTGGGCTAGATGGAACCCTGCTTCGACTATGCAAATAAGCGGGGGGGGGGGGACACGGGCGGGCGGGGACTCACAGCTCCAGGCGGCCGTCCGGGCCCCGCACCTCGGGCTCAGCGCGGCCCAGCGCCTCGAGGAAGCCACCCCAGGGGAAGTGCTCCGCGCGGCGGCCCAGTGCGCGCAGAACCCCCAGCCCGCGCCCCGCGCCCTCGGGCCCCGCCTGCAGTGCCTGCAACAGGAGGCGGGCGGGCGCCTCCAGGGTCGCCCAGGGCTCCGCCCCGGCCGGAGCCACGGTGTCCGACACCGACCACTCCAGCGCGAGGGGACACGGGCGACGGCCAAAACACACGAGGTCTGAGGGATCCGAAACGCGAGCAGAACTCCCCGCGCGCGCGGGAGACCCTGGGAAGGCGGAGCAGGGCCTGATAGGGCGGGGCCTTGCGCTTGAGGAGGGACAGGAAAGGTCGGGACCAGTATCAAACGGACTCTGGGGGAAGGGGCGTGGCCAATGAAGGGGCGGGGCGATAGCGTCAGGAAACGGCGAACCGCCTGCCACACAGACGCGATGGTCAGAGGAGCCCGCCGAGGGGCGGGGCCAGATCCAGCGACCTGTGCCTGTCCTGTGGGCGCTTGGTTAAAGAGCTGGTTCTTGACTGCTTCCTAATCTTACTCCTTCTCCACGTCGTCTTTTTTTAATGTTTCCGTTTTATTTATTTTATTATTCTATGTGTATGGGGGTTTTGCTTGCCTGTGTGTCAGTGCACTACGTGTGTGCCTGGTGCCCACAGAGACCAGGAGAGGGCATCGGATCCCTTGGAACTGGAGTTACTAACGGTTGTGGGTGCTGGGGATGAACCTAGGTCCTCTGCAAGAGCGGCCAGTGCTCTTAAATGCTGAGCCATCTCTCCAGCCCCGTCTCCTGTTTTCTTTTTTTCTGTGTATGTATGTGCTTGTGTATATGTATATGTGTGCAGCAGTCCTTCAAGATAAGAAGAGAAAATCAGATTCTTTGGAGCTTGAGTGCCATGCTGTTGAAGGCACACTAGTGCTGGCAAACAAACCCCAGTTTTCTATGAGAACACTCTTAACGCGTGAGTTCTCTCTCCAACTCTTATCCCTTTTAAATTTTATTTTTAATCACGTGGGGGGGGCATGTGCATGTGCATTTGATTCCCTGGATGTGGACTTCCAAACCTGGGTCTTCTGTAAGAGAGCCATATGGGCTCTTAACTGATGAGCCATCACTGCAGTGTGGCTGCGGAGGGGATCAGAGAGGTCACCAGGCTTGGGGTCACACAGACAACATTGGCTTTTTGCTGTGACTATCATGGGAAGTCATGGTAGTATTTTGAACTGATTTTAATTTTGAGCCAAAACTATCTGTTTATCTCAAGGGAATGAGTTTCAGGAACTGCTTTCTTACACTCTCTGATAAGGAGACTGGAGTAGATTTGTGGTGTTCCAAAGAGAACCTGTGAAGGATGTGGACCCTGAGAAGTACAGCCACAGCCATGGGTGCCCAAGAATCTGTCACAACCCCAAGCCTCAACCATGGCCTCATTCCTTACCTTTCTGCATTTGAACCATCTGGGCAGAACTAGGACCCAGTTCTAAACTTGGTTCCAGGACCCTGGAAAAGAGAGAAGTCAAGATGTTACATTCCCACCCTGTGAGGAGTGTACAGGAAAGATTTCCAGAGGCCAAGCATAGCCGAGCACAAGAGATGACCCCTCCCCCACCCCAGGACAGGGCAGGGCTAGAAATGGACAACCATCTTCACATAGCACTGGGACAGCTCATCTTCACATAGCACTGGGACAGCTCAGGCATATTTTATTGATTTTCTTCCAAAATCCTTCTACAAAACAGTAAAATTAAAAACAAAAAAAAGCAAAAAAAAAAAAAAAAAAAAAAAAAAGGCCTGTAGAGCAGGTAAGAACCCTCCATGGGGGGGGATTTCTCCCCATCCCAATACCCATGACCCCCAGCTGGGAAACTGGAGCTCACGGATGGAGATGAAGGGTTTGTCACCAAAGCCCCATAGTGAGTGTCAACCAGCACTAGGATTTCCCACCCAGCAGGCCCCTCCCTTTCCCCTTGCTCTCTCAAAAAGCTCCTGGCTACAGAAGGCCAAGGTAAGAGCTGAGGTCCCCCACCCACACAGCCCCAAGGCCAGGGTATAGTCTGGGAAGAACACATCTTTCTTTAGGTTGGTGGTTTCTAAGAATGATGCTGGCCCCAACACCATAAAGTATAGGAAAAAAAAAAATCCAGAAGCCTTTGGTTTTGACCACAGCAGCCTTGGGGACAGACTCACAGGTGAGGCTGGAGAGGTTGGACACAGCACAACATTGTCACATTAGGGTTTGCAATCATCTACATTGCTCATGTAATACATTGTATTTATCATGGATATTTAAAAAAAAAAAAAAAAAAAACCAAACGGGTTCTCGAGTAACCCAGGCTACTTGCCAACTTGGTGTGTCACTGAGGATGCTCTGGAACTCCTAAGCCTCCTGACTCATCTCCCAATTACTGGGATTACAGGTGTGTACCCATACTCCCATGGGGAGCAAACCCAGGGTCTTGTGCCTGATGCAAGCATTCAACGGACCTACTGACCCCCAGCCCAGCCTTCATGGGTATTGTATCAGTTACTTTCTATTGCTGTGATAAAACACCATGACTAAGGCAGCTTGTATAAGAGAGATTTGCTTTTGGCTTATGGTTCCGGAGGGTTAGGAGCCCATGAAGGCAGAGAGAAGGCTTGAGGCTGGAGTAGGGACAGCTGAGCTTAAACTTCAAACGCAAGCAGAGAGCAAACTGGGAATGGCACATGGCTTTGATACCCTCAACACTGGTCCCCAGTAACACACTTTCTTCAGTAAGGCTTCCCAACATTTCCTAAGACTAAATAGTGACACCAACTGGGGACCAGTGGCTAGTGGCCAGAGCCTAGGGCAGGAACTGACGTATTCAGTCAGACTTGAAATCAGTGGCCTGTTCCCCAAATGGAGAACTGAAACCAGACTGGAAGGCAGTAAAAGAGAGATGGTGCATCACCTTCAAGCCATGTTCCTCCAGGAGGAAGGGGCGCTCAAGACTGGACCATAGTGTTCTCCACAGTACAAAAAAGGACCCTCTAGCATCCTGATGTAGTTGATGGGATGGTCATGCCACTATTTTCCAGCAGGTGGCAGTAATGTGCCTTAAGAGATGCCCTTCTAGAATTAGGTCTCTAGGCAGCCACCTGGGGAACCTTTTTTCTTTTTATTATTATTATTATTTTATTTTACTAGTAACATACAAAGAGGGGAGGTCACAGATAACCTTCAGATGTGCCTCTGTAACCAAGTTAGAACAGTGTATTGGGCTATGGGTGGCCTTAGCTGGGGAGCTGAGGGCTAAGAACTGTTGACCAATCATGCCACAGTGGGGCCTTGGACACTTGTGGTCAGCCTCAGGGAGGCCAGCTAGGGTAGTGAGTGCATGGAGGAGTTTCTTTGTCACATAAGCCTTCTCTCCTAAAATCCAGGACATACCACTTACCACATACCCTCAGCGCGTCCAGGTGCAGCAAAAATTCCTCAAAACTGTCTTTACTTCTTCCAAAACCTACTGCCAGGATGGCTCCATGAGGTGGCCCCACAGGAACCCCTCCAGCTTCCCTTTCCTGGCCCCTACATGACGCCAGCCATGTCAACACCTGTGTTTGAACCTACTGTGACTTTTTGTTTGTTTGTTGGGTTTAAGACAGGCTGGAATATTATATAACTCTGGCTAGAACTTCCTTTGTAGATCAGGCTGGCCTCAAACTCTGTCTGCTTCTGCCTCTGCTTCCTAAATGCTGGGAATAAAGGTGTACCTCTACCACCACCACATTTTTCTTTCTTTTTTCCAATGTTGTGGTTTAATCTTGTGAGACCGGATTTCACGTAGCTCAGGCTGGCCTCAAACTTGCTATACAACAAAAGATGACATTGAACTTCTGCTCCTCCTGCCTCCACCTGAATGCTGGGGTTACAGCTATGTGCCAGCCGTCACACTGGGTGTGGTCATGGGGAGGGGACCCAGAGCCTCATGCAAGCTAGTCAGGCATTCTGCCAGCTGAGCCACATCTCTAGCCCTGAACACATGGGGTTTTTTTTTTTTTTTTTTTTTTTTTTTTTTTTTTTTTTTTTGAAGTTCCTTTTTCATTTTATGTGTTTTGCCTGCATGTGTAATTATGTGCCTCTGTGCCTCTTGTTGGCCTGGTGTCTGCAGAGGCCAGAAGAGGGTGTTAGAATCCTTGTCACTAGAGTTACAGATGGTTGTAAGCCACCATGTGGATTTTGGGAACTGAACCCAGGTCCTCTGGAAGAGTAGACAGTGCTCTTAACCACTGAACCATATAGTTTTTTTTTTCTTTCTTTTCCTTCCTTTTTTTTAAAATTATTTTTTATTTTTTTCCTAGACAGGGTTTCTCTGTGTAAGAGCCCTGGCTCTCCTGGAACTAGCTCTGTGGGCTGGCACAGAGATCCACCTGCCTCTGCCTCTGCCTCTCAAGCTCTGGGACTAAAGGTGTGCGCCGCCACCGCCCAGCTGCCACACAGATTTTTAAAGAAGGAACACTTAAGTGTTCTTCACAAGCCGGGTGTTGGTGGCACACATCTTTAATCCCAGCACTCAGGAGGCAGAAGCAGGTGGATCTCTGTGAGTTTGAGGCCTACTGTGCATGGTCTACAGAGTGAGTTCCAGGACGGGCTCCAAAGCAATACAGAGAAACTCTGCCTCGAAAAACCAAAGTAAACAAACAAACAAATAAATAAAACCCCCAAAACCAAAAAGTCATTTAGCCTCCCAGGTCTTCTCCTCTTCCTGGCTTTTTCCTCCCTGTCCCTGCTGGTGCTAGATCAGACCTGAATACTGCAGGTCATGTCCTACCTGGTCCCTAAGCCACACTGACCATACCTCAGTTCGTCCTCCATGGCATGAGAAGAATAAGGATCCTTACCTCACACAGCAATAATATGTGAGAGAGCCCTCCTCTCCACAGGCTCTCAGTCCTCCACTGCTGGGCTTGCCAGATCCTCCAGCACTTCCAGCTGGGATGCCAGTGGCTGGTGGCCAGCCCACTTTAACCTCCCTCTGCCTACTGCACCCTCATCTTCCCCTCTCCCTTCAGCGCCACCACCCCATCCCCACTTGTTTTCCTTGGTCACTGACTATGCATTGGGGTTCACAGGCAAGCCCAGGGCTGCAGAGGCTCATGTACCCTTGGGAATGATCATGGGGGCCTGCAAGCCAGCATCCTGCAGGCCTCTCCTCCCCTGCTGGATGCTAGCCCCGGTGCCATGATGATGTGAAGACTACTATTCTTCTGCCATGCGCACAAGTACCTCAGGTAGTGGGTGTGGCTATGGTTGGGCAAGATGCCAAAAGGCCACATTTTATCCACACAGATGCCAAATACAGAATCTTGGCTGTCTTTCTTCAACTGTGGCCACAGGCTGGCTCAGTCATTCTCCCAATCACAGCCCCAATACAGCCCCAGGTGACATTTAATGATTCTGAGCTCCCTGGTCCTCTTCAAGGTCTTAGCATCCCAGGGAGCCAGGGTGCCATCTGCCCCATCACCTGACTTCATGGTCTACTGCTTCTCAAGTCCGGGCTCTGCTGAGGGGCCATGAGCTCCTGGTGAGGTCTGACTCAGCCGGAGGCTCCTGGGAGCGGCTAGGCTATGGTTCCTGTCAGCAGTCGTCAGGAAGCGGTCTGCTCACTCACATGGCCTCTACTGAGGGCCAACTGCACACAAGGCTTTGCTGTGGCCCAGGACCTGCCCTGGGAGGACTTAGGAATCTCTCATATAACCACCATGCACCCTCTGGTACCGTACCCATTACCTACAGGCACCTGTAATGGTCCAAATGTATAGGTGTTCTGAGCATAAAATACATTTAACATAAAGACTAAAACATTTTATATTGATAGAATTAATTGATAATATTATAATGCAATATACATAAAAACTGTGTTTTGTTTTTTTGAGACAGGATTTCTCTGTGTAGCCCTTGCTGTCCTGGAACTCACTATGTAGACCAGGCTGGCCTCGAACTCAAAAAGATCCTCATGCCTCTGCCTCCCAAGTGCTGGGATTAAAAGTTTGCCTCACTACTGCCCGGCTCATAAAATACTTTTGTGGGTGGTCAAGACAGGGTCTTTACAGCCCAGTCAGACCAAACTCACAGCAATCTCCTGAGTCCTGGGGTTGCAGATATGAGCCTCCATGCCCAACTACAGTGAATTATTTTTTTAGGCATTAAGAAAGGTATCTAGTGGGACTGGAGAGACAGCCCAGTGGTTAGGAGCACTTGCTGCTTTACAGAAGGCCTGGGTTCAGTCCTAGCACCCACATAGCAGTTTACAACCATCTGTAGCCCCAGTTCCAGGGGATCCATAGCCCTTTCTGGTTCCATGGACACTGCATGCATGTGGTATTCATAAACTCATGCAGACACAAATAAATAGATATAAATACATTAATCTCCATCCCCAAAGCCCACCTTTCGAAGGTTTTGCGGGTACATGCCTCAGGAGGCTGAGGCAGACAGTCTAAGTTTGAGGTCCAGCACAGACCATGTCTCAAAAATGCAAAACAAGGGTTAGAGCACTGGCTGCTCTTTCAAGGACTGGGGTTTGATTCCTAGCACCCACATGAAGGTTCATACTATCTATGACTCCAGTTCCAGAGGATCCAGTCTCCTTCTGGCCTCTGAAAGCACCAAGCATGCAAATGGTACACGGACAAACACGCAGGCAAACACCCATATACCTAAGTAAATAAACAAAAAAGTAATGGTTTGAATGAGAACGACTCCCAGAGGCTTATATATTTGAGTGCTTTGTCCCAGCTGATGGAACTATTTCTGGAGGATTAGGAAGTGTGGCCAATTGGAGGAGGTACACCACTGGGGGTGGGCTTTGAGGTTTCAAAAGCCCATACCACACCCAATTAGCTCTCTGTCTGCCTCCTGCTTGTGGCCCAGCTGTGAGCTCTCAGCTACTGCTCCAGCACCATGCCTGCCTGCCTGCCTGATGCGGCCATGTCCCCACCATGATGGTCATGGACTCCAACCCTCCAGGTTTGTAAGCCCCCAACAAGCTCTTTCATGAGGTCCAGGGTCATGGTGCTTTGACCCCTGCCCCGCCACCCCCTGCACCAAGTCAACGCTCCCCACAAGACTGTGGACTGTAATGGTGACCCCAGTCAGCCCACTAATTCTCTTACTGACCAGATTGGCTGGGGGAGGTTGGGGGTGGGAAGCTGATAGGAGGATTTTTAGGTCAGTTTGTCCATTGGCTCTTCTGTCTATCTGTACCCTTCCCGGCAGCTGGAGATCAAAGCCAGGGCCTCAACACTTAAGCAAACACTCTGCTCTACCACTAAGCTCGACCCCAAATTCTAAAGCTAAAGGTGGGAACTGAGGCATCACAGGTCACAGGTGACCTGGGCCAGGGAAGGCGGCAGTGAGGGAAGATCGAGAAGGAGCTGGGGGAGCCATCAGGACCAGGAGTGACGAAGGGAGGGTCAGGGAGGACGGCAGAGGAGCACCCAAACTGAGTCTGCTCCGCCATCGTCCTGAGCCTTCCTGACCCTGTGCAGGAGGCAAGCACCAGGAATCGCTCATAGCAAACATCCCTCTGAGTGCAGCCTCTCATTCCCTGCCTGCTTTCTTTCTAGCTTGGAAAACCCACAAATTTCAGTCTGTGGGCATCCGTTGTCCTCTGCCCAAACCTCAGTTCTCCTGGGAGAACTTGTTTTTAAAATGTGAAATGTCTGATAGAAAGCGTGGTGAACTCGCAGTGCCCTGGTGTAAAAAACCGGAGAGAGAAGGCAAGCACAGCAGACCTGAGCTAGCTCTTCACCAGCTGGGTACCAGTGGCTTGTTCCCGCCCCCTCTGGGCTCAGTCTCCTCTGTGCCAAGAAGTCCCTTCTTCCACAGACACTTCAAGTTCTTAAGGGACTTGGCTTCCAATAGACAGATTGGACCCAAAATAATGTCACCCTTTTCCAGTGCTTCCCTGAGGTCCAGACCCACACCTACACGGGTCATGCCCCCTGCTATAGTGCTGCCCGCAGGCTAGAGTGTCCATTCCAGCTGCAGTCCTGGGAGGATGTGGGACCTGAAAAGGGAAGGAGCCCTAGCCAGCTGCTGTCCCATCTCGGGCCTCAAGGACTTGTGTGGTGCTCCAGGATGTGTGGCAGGAGGCCTTTGGGGTCTTTTGGTAAATACTGGAAGACTCCAAGGATATTGGAAAGCAAGGTGACCTAGGTTATGAGGGCTTGGGACCCAGGACTGAGGGCATGCACAACCAAGGGCTGTGAGAGCCTGTACTGAAGGAGGTGTAAAAAGCAGGGTGGTGCTAAGCATGCTGTTCACGTTGGGCCACTCCAGGAAGTCCTGGGGACCTGGCCTCCCATACAGGTCACGAGTAATTACAATATTATCAGTGTCACAGTGCCAAGGCCACAGTCAGAGGTGGACGGGTGGGGGTGGGTCCACACTTTGGTTTGGGAAGCTCTTGTGTCAGTAGAGTTCGAAAGGTCACTCGATCTGGGCTGAACAGGGAGTGACCCTGAACAAGTGTCCCTCTCCCCCATCACACCTGTTGAAACATCCGTGGCATGGCAGTTACTGAGAACCTGGGTCTCTGTGGCCATGGTGAGGGACCTCAGGGTAGATGCTGTTCCTCCAATGTGGCAAGCACCCCTTGAGCCATACCAGTAAGCGCCAGCAAAGCAAAAGAGGACAGAGTGACTGGCCCCCTGTCCCAAAGAGCCCATTCTCATAACAGGTCCTAAAAACAAGTGTCCTGGATGAGGTCCTGCTTGGTGGCATGTTGGTTCTAAGGTGTCTGCTCCTTCCCTGGGGAGGTGCTAAGCAGCCTAGCTGGGTACAGGGACAGTGATGAACCTCCTCCATGGGGGCCCTGGAGACTGGGAGGAGGTCAGGGACTTCCCTCTGAGGTAAACAGCCTGTTGTGTAAGTTGTTTTCATCTGGGAACCTGTGATGGGTTCGGATGCTGGAGAGGATGCAGTGAGGTCATGACCGAGGATGCTTGGCACAGGCAGCTGAATGTGAGCTCCCAGTGGGGGAAGAACCAAGGCCTGGGGCCAGGAGACCTGATGTGACCTAGGTCAAGGTGCTTCTGGGCCCTTGGCCTTAGTGCCAAGATGGACGGGGAAGGAAGGTCCATGGCCTCTAAGCTGACTTGTAAGACTGTATCCCCACTGGAGTAAAGCCAGCACTCACACTCACTCTGATGGGTGGGGCTGGACCTTTGTGAGATACTTGATTATACTGTGTAACTATATGTCACTGTGATTGGTTTAATAAAAAGCTAAATGGCCAATAGCTAGGCAGGAGGTACAGGTGGGTCTTCCAGACAGACAGAGCTCTGGGAGAAGAATGGGAGAGAAACACAGGAGGGACGAGATGGAAGAGATGTAAAAAGGCGCGAGGCAAATACACAGATTAATATAAATGGGTTAATTTAAGTTATAAGAGCTAGTGGGATAAGCCTAAGCTACACGTCGAGCTTTCATAATTAATACGTCTCCGTGTAGTTTTTAGTGAGCTGACCGGGAGATGCACAGGCAAAAGTGAGCAGAACCAATGAGCACTCAATCACGTAAAAATGAAAGCTTTAAAATTGCTATTAGTGTTGAGAAAAGGTCTCACTGTATAGTCCTGGCTGGCCTAGAACTCTGTTGTAGACCTGGCTGGCCTTAAAGTCACTGCTTCCTGAGTGCTGGGATTAAAGGTGTGCACCACCTCATCCAGCGACAGGAAGATTTTTACAGTGAAATCTAACAACTGTCCATTCCCTCCAGTAGTTAAAACACTTGACTGGGGGGCTGGAGAAGTGGCTCAGAGGTTAAAGGCATTGGCTGTCCTTCCAGAGATCCTGAGTCCAATTTCGAGCAACTACATGGTGACTCACCACTATTCGTAATGTAATCTGGTGCCCTCTTCTGGCCTGCAGGGATACATGCAGGCAGAACACTATACATAGTAAATAAACCTTAAAAAACAACAGCAGCAGCAGTAACAACAACAAAATCTAAAATGCTTGAGTGAGAAGCTAATAGTCCTAGGCACTTTTAATATGAATTTTACTTTTATTGGGTCAAAATTATTTTTTTAACATTAAAACAACGTTTGAAGCAGGATTGGAGTTTAAGAGATCTGAATATACGTTACTTATGCAATGTTTTACCTGCATGTATGTGTATCGTGTGTGTAGGAGTCTATACAAGCTAGAAGAGGATATGGGATCCTCTAGAACTGGAGTTATAGGCAACTGTGAGCCTTAATGTGGTGGGCTGGGAATTGAACCCAGGTCTTCACCAAAAGCATTTCTCTTAACTGCTGAGCCATCTCTCCAGCCCACTTTTGTTCTGAGAGTCTCATGTAATCCAGGCTGGACCCTTAACACACTGTGCAGCCCCTGATGAACTTTGAACTGACTTTCCTGCCTCTTATCTCCCAAGTGCTGGTGTTACAGACACCATCACCATGCTTGCCCATCCATTTCTAGGGGCTACAGCCAGGGTGGTGGTTACGAGCTGAGGCTCTGCTTTCCTTCCCTCTCTTTTTGAGATGGGGTCTATGTAGCTCGGGCAGTCCTGGAACTCTCTCTGAGACCCACCTGCCTCTGCCTCCTTGAAGGAACATGCTACTACACCTGGCTCTAGCTGCTCTTGCAGAGGAGTCAGGCTCATAACTGTTTGTAACTCCAGGTCCAGGGGACCTGACACCCCCTTCTGGCCTCCAAGGAAGGGTATCAGGCACACAAATTGTGAGCAGGCTCACATGCAGATAAAACAACCATACACAGTGGTGGTTGAATAGGTATGACCACCCCCCCCAGAGTCATGTGTTTGAATGCTCGGACACAGAGAGTGGCACTAACAGGAGGTGTGGCTTTTTTGGAGTGGATGTGGCTTTGTTGGAGAGTCACTAAGGGGTGGGCTTTGAGGTTTCAGAAACTCAAGCCACGCCCAGTGTGGTAGTCACTTCCTGCTGCCCACAGATCAAAAACTCTCAGCTACCTCTCCGGCAACAAGTCTGCCTGTGTGATGTCATGCCGATAATGGACTAAACCAGCCCCAATTAAATGTTTCCTTTATAAGAGTTGTCACTGTCATGGTGTTTCTTCATAGCAATAAAACCCTAAGACATACATAAAATAAAGATTAAAAGGGGGCCAGCAAGATCGCTCAGTGGGTAAGGGCATTTGCTACTAAGTCTGACAACTTAAGTTCAATCCCTAGGATCCACTTGGTGGGAGGAGAGAATGACTCCAGCAAATTGTCCTGTGACACATAACCTGACCACCTGTAGAACCTCGCCCTGTAGAACTCGATGGCCTCCTTGTTGCATAGGAAATGATGGAAAGAGAAGTCTTGGTCTCTTGGGACATGGCCAGCTGATTTTAGTCATACATGCCACTCATGGTCCAGGCCTCACAGCCTCTATGATCCTTCGGCCCCAGCAGCTCCCCTGGTACTGCTCCTTCAGGACACAGGGATTCTTCCCCCCTCAGATCTGACTCTTGGCAGGAACAATGTTACCCATGTACTGAGGGAGAGTAGGGAGGACCAGAACAGATCCCAGGCCAGGACCAGGGGCCTCCTTTGGCCTCTATGCTGACAGCCCTGGACATGGCAGAAGAGATGTTCCTTAGTCCTTACAATAGCATGAAGAACTCAGCTGGCGTCAAGTCAACTCTTAAATACTTAATTCCCATTTATTTAAAGTTCTGTCAGTCTGTATACACTATTTATATTAAAAACACAGGAAGCTGGGCTCCTAGCAAAAATATATGTTTCAGTTTTGGAGACTTCAGACCCTGAGAGGAGCTGTACCCTCTGCTCCAGACCTAGGCGGGCGCAGGGACAGGGTGGGTCAGGGAATATCGCCCCATTCACAGCCTGGGCCCCACAGGGAACACCCCAAGACCTGATCAGAGGAGGTGGGGGCAGGGAGCTTGTAGCAGGGATGATCTGGCAACAGAAGGTCACTGCATTGGCAGGAGCACTCACAGGGCTGTCCCCTCTCCAAGCCACTTCCCTCCAGAGCTGTGGTCTGACAGTTAAGGCCCTGGGGACAAAAAGCAGATGGGATCCAGGACATAAGGGCTTGAGGCCCAAGCTTCCAGTGTTTTTCTCTGAGAGCATGGCTGGGTGAGGGAGCACCCAGCAAGCTCTGTGCCACTCTAAGCAGCAGCTGAGAGCTGGTGACCAGCCAGGCAAAAGAAGAGAAGGCCATGGAGCCGCTGAGATGTGTGAATGTGAGAGGGGACTGGGCAGAGAAGCGCAGGCAGGACACACCCCTGCCTACTCACACATCACCAACCCTAGGAAGAGCTATCCCCCAGCCACCTTGGGGAGGGGCCCTGTGGTGACCAAGAGGTGAGCCACTGCCATGGTTACACCCAGGCAGTTGCGGGAAGCAGATGTGCCAGTGCCTGCAGGGTAGAGGAAAAAGCAGCTACAGTCGGATTCCCCCTTCCCCCCCCCACTGGGCTCTGCCAGTCTGAATGCTGCTACAGGGTGGGGGCCAGTGGGTACCGATGGAGAGCCTGCCCCGCGTGCTGTCTGCTCTCTAACCCTGGGACCCAAACCCCAGTCCTGGCATCAGAACTTAGTGTGCTGTTCCTTCTGGCCAACTTCTACCCTCCTCCCCCTCTTCAAAGGGGGTGTGGGAACCCACGAGGGCAGGAAGAATGGAGGGTGTCAGAGTTGGAGTGGGGTGCCTTGGGTTGAGGAGACAGTCTGGGAGAGAAATCTGGCTCTCAGCCCAGGCTCCTTGCCCACTCTCCTCTGCAGGAGGAACCCTGTGATGGTGACCACAGGCTGGAACAGCAGTCAGTCCAGGCCAAGCTTCTTGGAAAGCTGGGCCCAGAGCTTAGTGTTTCTTTGGATGTCTCAAGTATTTGAAGAGGGAGATGGAGGTGAGGCAGGGCCAGGTGCGTGCAGGACCAGGCCAGGGTAGGCCCCACTGCTCCCGGGAAGATAGGCAAAGGTAGAGGCCTTATTCTGGGCTGATGGTAAGCATACCAACAGCCTCACTCACATGAATCAGGCAGACATGGGGATAGGCTGGGAGGAAGAGGATGCTGCAGATGACAAGGTGGAAGAGCAGGGCGGGAAACAGCAACAACAGGAAGCGCTGGGGAGAAGTGGGCAGAAGGCAGGGAGGGTGGGAGTCTGGGCCTTGTGTCTGGAGTGTTGTGAATGGGCTCCAGCTGCTCGGGCTGTGCCCAGTGCTTGTGGGCAGGCTGGTCCTCACAACAGTCAGTCCCATGGCTGGGAGCCTGTAGGGAGGCCTGGGCCGAGGCCTCAGTACATGTCCTTGTAGATTTCCTGGAGCAGGGGATGCAGCAAGGTCTCACTCTCAGTCTTCTTCAGCCACTGCATCATCTGAGCATGCTCAGTGACCAGCTGTCGCAGGTCGGCCATCTTCTGCAGCAGCTTGGGGAAGAGGTACGGGCTGTCAGGGTGGTTGACTTGCAGGTGGACCTCCAGAGCCCGCAGAATGGTGTCCTGGATGGCCTCCACCTGTGGTACGCTCATGAGGCCTGGACGGTCTGTGGGGACACAGGGTGTGAGTGGGGGGCAGGGCAGGGCACAGGAACCTCCTAGCCCACTCAGGGATCTCAGGGATCTCTTTGCCCAGGATGGAGTACTCCATGACCCCGTTCCCCACCCATGCTCTGTTTCTAACCAATTGCTTTTCCTGATCTGGCAGGGCCCTGTGTTTCCTGGCTTCCGGACAACTAGTACCCAGATTCAGATCCTGTCTCTCTTGTCTCTGTGGCTCTGGGCGTCCAGGTTGCTGTGAGGACCAAATAAGTTACAAACTAGGACGGCTTGGGCCTGAAATGAGTTTGGTGCCCCAGTGGGTGAGCAGGGTTACCTGTGTATTATATTAGACTGGAAAAATGCAAAAGTAAAATAGAAACTGCTCCCACTGTCCACAAATAACAGCCTTTAACACACAGTGTATTTCTTCTTTCCTACAGTCCTGAGGATTGAACTCTGGGCCTCCTGCCTGCCAGACAAGCATTCTACCACTGAGCTATATCCCCAGCAGGACCAACTTATCTCTTTATGTCTCTGTCTGTTTAATGAGCTGTAGCTAGTTCTGCACACGTGGCCTGTGCTAAACTGTCTGAGGTCAGGCTTGGTCCCTTACACTGCGAGATGCCCCTCACCTCCACACAGAATGATGGCCGCGATGAAAAGTGCCAGGTCACTGTCGTCGAGTTCTAGTGCATTGAATTTGACAGCAAACTCAAACTTGGGCTCAATGATGTCACTGAAGGGCTTGCGGAGGCTGCGCAAGAACTCATGGGTGACGAAGCCACTGCCATTGGCCACCAGCAGCCCGTCTTTGTTGACGATGGAGGCCAGCATGGCAAAGATGGCCTCGTGCACGCCGTACTTGAGGAGGGTCACCTGGTCGTTGAGGAAGAGGCTGCTGAAGTTGGGGATGCTCTTGGCGAACTCAGTGAGCTCCCGTACAGTCTCCACCGTGGTGCATTGGCAGCGATAGAAGACGTGCACACTGATCTCCTTGTAGGGCGGCAGCCCGTTCACCAGCTGTTTCCACACCAGGCCCTTCTCTGCCTGCCACAGCGTCTCGATGTCATGGATGACAAAGGGCTGAAAACCAGCCCCATCAGAAGCCAGGCCTGGGGAAGGGGAGGGACCCCGCCCTTGTGTCCCCTGAACCCCACCTCAGAGCCCAGGCTGGCCAGTGACACTCACTGCGTTGTGGCTGGACTTGCCGGTGAGGATACTACGGGCCTTCTTTTTGGTCATATTGAAGTTTTTCAGGTAGGCATTGTAGATGTGCTTGGAGAAGGCCTTTAGGTCGGCCAGCTGCGGGTTGTGCTGGCACCCCTCACTGGCCGTCAGCCCTGCCACCAGCTTTCTCTTCTCGGCTTCTGGCATCCTTCCGAAGCGGATGGCTGTACAGGGGTTGAGGGCTTGTCACAGAGGAGCTACAGGCAGGGGCAAGCACCCCTCCTTCCCTGCTCCTCTCAGGTGAAGAGATGTCATTCTTTGGGGGCCAGGGGCTCTCAGAGGCCCCATAGTCAGCAGGCGAGTAGTGTTGAGGCAGCCTAGGAGCCCAACTCCCTAAGAACCTTTGCTGACCTGCCTGGGGGCTGGCATGGCAGCTAAGAAGACAGTCTTTGGTGACCAGTGTGGCATCTAAGCCCCCCCCCCCCCCCCCGCCAGGTCATCGCCTCTCAACTCTTTGTTCTTTCACCTTCTTTGTGGGTCAGGCAAAGTGGAGATCCTTAAAACTCACTAGGATAATGAGGGCTATTCACAACAAGCAGTTAGAACCTAGAACCACAGGCTGCAGTGATAGCCCAGTTGGTAAAGTGCTTCTGTGGCAAGCCTGAGGACCCCAGGCCATTGATATCATGGGAAAAAGAGCTGGGTGTGAGGGGGACAACAGATGGATCCCAGCAGCTCCCAGCCAATGAGAGACCAGCTCAACAACAGAGGTGGATGGTATCTGAGCTGTTCTCTGGCCTCCATAGACATGCATGTACACTGGTAGGTACATACACATGCACGTGCGTACACACACACACTTGTAGTCTGAATAATGAAGCAGGCCCTGGCTTCTGTTAGAGAGAGCATAAAGGAAGGGTTTGATTTACTCCAAGGCTTCTTAGGGCTCTGTGGGACCCCTGCAATGGAAAAGCACCAGTACAAGTGCAGATGAGTCTCAGACCCACCAGAACCCACACTTAGGAGAAGCCACAGGTGGCCTGAGATGCTCTGTGTGTGTGTGTGTGTGTGTGTGTGTGTGTCTGTGTGTGTGTGTCTGTGTGTGTGTGTCTGTGTGTGTGTCTGTGTGTGTGTGTCTGTGTGTGTCTGTGTGTGTGTGTGTCTGTGTGTGTGTCTGTGTGTGTGTGTCTGTGTGTGTGTGTGTGTGTGTGTGTCTGTGTGTGTGTGTGTGTCTGTGTGTGTGTGTGTCTGTCTGTGTGTGTGTGTGTGTCTCTGTGTGTGTCTGTGTGTGTGTGTCTGTGTGTGTGTGTGTGTCTGTGTGTGTGTGTCTGTGTGTGTCTGTGTGTGTGTGTGTCTGTGTGTGTGTGTGTCTGTGTGTGTGTCTGTGTGTGTGTGCGCGTGTGCGCGTGTGCGTGTGTGTGCGTGTGTGTGTGTTCCAGTGGCTAGACCAGCACAGGGTATGAGCATGAGGCTTCCCGGTTCTTTGGAAGCCTGAGGTAAGGATGGCTCAGTCTCCTGGAGTATCTGACCACCAGCAAATTCCCACCTGAGTCCTGGGTCCTGCATACCCTCAGCACCCTGGCCTCAGCCCTGCATGCTCTGTCAGTCTGACATGTGGAAGGCAGGTGAGCCACAGGCACAGAGGGCAGCTGACCACCCAGGTCTCCCGGTGTGTGGTTCCCAGACCTGGTGCCTACACCAGCACACAGCAGACACATCCACACACTCGTCCATGCCAGGCACAGGCGCTTGGGCACTCTGACAACATAGAGAACTCTGAAGTTAGGTTGTGTGGCTACCGCTGTGCCTTGTGGGCACTCTCACCGTTGTGGGACATGCCGAGCGCCAGGCACTTCTGAAAGCGACAGTACTGGCACTTGTTACGGTTCTTCTTCTGGATCTTGCAGCTCCGATCACACTTCTCATACTCAAGCTTCATGCGGATTGTCCGGCGGAAGAAACCCTGTGGGACCAAGGGCGTAAGGAGCCCGCATTGCTGCGGAGGGCCCAGTGGCATGCAAGGCTGAATCTGGGAATTTAATAATTAATTTTTATTTATATCTATGGGTGTTCTGCCTGCATGTGTGTCTGTATACCACATGTGTTTGGTACCTGTGGAGGCCGGAAAGGCAGTGGGTCAGACCCTGAGACCAGAGTCACAGATACCATGTGGGTGCTAGGAACCAGATAGTACTCTAACCACTAAAATAGCTCTCCAGCCCCAGGGGATCTTTTTTTTTTTTTTTTTTAAGGGAGGAAAAGTATCCCTAAAAAATTTTTTTAAAGGGCTGGGTATAGTGGCATACAAGTTTAATCCCAGTACTCAGGAGGCAGAGGCAGGGGGATCACTGTGAGTTTGAGGCTAGTCTGGTCTACATAGTGAGTTTCAGGGCAGCCATTACTACACAGAGAAACCCTGTTTCTGAAAAAGAAAAAGACAAAGGACACTGGAAACCAACTTCAACTGTACAAATAGACACAGCCCAAGGTCACTCTGCCCTGCCTGCCTTCTGGAGCCCAATCTCCAAGGGAGACTGAATATGTAGCTGGGTCAGCAGGCAGATGTCTGTTTGGACACTTGTTGTCTTTTCTCATGGATGGCCCGGAGCTTAGGCCTGTAAGGAACCGAAAAGTTTTTCTAGGTGAATTTTCAGGGCCCCACCCAAGGCAGGCAAATCCCGTGCCCCTCAGTCGTACCTTGCACCCCTCGCAGGCATGGACCCCGTAGTGGAAGCCTGAGGCCTTGTCCCCGCACACACGGCACTCCATGTTGAGGCTGCCACCTGAGGCCCCATCACAGCCTATCTGCAGCTGGTCCAGCAGGGAGGAAGGAGAGGAATTCTGGGAGAGGTCTGTGGATTCAGGACAGAGGGGCAGTAGGATAGTCAGCTACCAGGCCTAGGAGGCAGGGAGGCAGGCAGAAGGAAGAGCTGCAGCTAGAGACCAGCCCCCGCCAAGGGCTGTGTGACCCGGGGAGCGGCTTTGAGACACTAGTTTCTTCACTTGGAGCACAGGGTCCAGGGTGGCTTTGCTGGGGAGATGGGCCATCTTCCTGTAAGTGTGACCCACTGCAGTCAAGCATGTTGCTGTTGCTCACAGCCTCCTGGCCTGGGCGAGGAGTGGCCTGGTGGGGCTTTGGGGTCAACAAGCAGTAATCTAAGGTGACCGTGGGGTGGAATGTGTCTGTTGGACTCTGTGGGGGTGCAGACCTCTACCCAACTGTCTCTTGGACTCCAGGGGTGCCATCAGGAATCTCCCAGGACCTGAAAACCACACCCTAAGGCCTGCTGGAGTGAGAGTACAGGTGTGATACTGACTGTCCCTGTTATCAAATGCAGAGGTTTGGGCTGAGGGTTTAAAGCTGGCAAGGAGAGTGGGAGGCCGTGACTGTGGTTTCAGGGTGACCGTGCTGTCACACGGCTGCCAGAAGTCAGAATCTCTTCTGAATTTGCTTTGAGACTTAGGGATAAGAGAATAGGCTCTGCCTTGGGCCTTGGTCACCTGGCTCCACAGATGCCTGCTGTCATCTCTCCCCTTCCCCCATGCTTGCTTTACATTTCGGCTCTGCTGGGACTGCAGACTGTCTTCAGAGACAGATGCCAAACCCCAAGACCAGTGACCGACACTCAAGCAGAAGAAAGACCCAAGCCACATGACCTACCCATACTGCTCTCCCAGCCCTCAACCTCCCTCTTTACAGGCTAAGTCCCTCCTCTGCAGGCCTGCTCCTAGGACCCCACCCTGGCCACAGCAGCAGAACTCAGGCAACAGACATCATGGGGGGGGGCTGCTGAGGTTGGAATGATGACATATGAGTATATATGGCCCAGTACCCTAATTCCCAATGACTGTTACTCCAAAGGTCTAAATGCCCTCTGGTCTCCAGCTGAGGAGAGTGGACCCCTCATCTTCTCTGGCAGGCTTTGGGCTTCTTAGAAGCCTGTCACCATCTGATGGGGGGGCAGGTCTGTGCGTTCATATGCGGGCATCACCCACCAGGTGTGATGGCTGGGAGGGCAGGGCACACCAAAGCCCAGAAGCTGTGGGTACCAGGCTCAATCGAACCTCCACAGCTCCCAGGGTAGCTGAATTCTCCATACCAGTTCCTTCTCTGCACATGGGGCCTGGAGGGGGCCTACTATGGTCTCTGGCTCAAGGGGTCTCAAGACCTCCAGAACCCTGTAAGTTGCCAAGATCACCAGATCCTGAGGTACCCAGAGTGAGTGAGGGGCTGGGGGAATTACCGCCTGAGAAAAGAAGGCCTAGCTCAGCAGGTGAATGATGGGATGCCTTGGCCTGGGTGAGGACCTATTTAGCAGAACCACAGGCTAGAGAATACACAAGGCTAGAGAAGCAAGACGGGACAGGATCACGTGAGTGCGTGTGTATTGGGCAAACGGAAATGGTGTGTGGGCGGCTTTTCCAAAAACATTGGCTCCATTTGTCCTGGCTGACCACTTGGCTTAAGGATTTGTCCCCTATCACCCAAAAAGTATGACACCATTTCAGGCACCTGCATCTTTTCATGTCCTTCTGGTCAGAGGTGCAGCATATCGGCCGTGACGATGGAATGGGTGGAGTGATTGATTCTCAGACCTTTCTTCACAAGGAACACAGGCTCTGAGTCTCTCAGGCCAAGGCTACAAAAAGCTGGGCTTGTTGTATGGGCACAGCCTACCTGCTGGGATTTTGTCTTGTTTATTTCTCTATTTTTTCTTCCTCTCCACACACTCTCTTTCTGGTGTTTTGGTGACAGGGTTTCTCTGTGTAGCCCTGGCTGTCCTGGAACTCACTCTGTAGACCAAGCTGGCCTCGAATTCACAGAGATCGGCCTGCCTCTGCCTCCTGAGTGCTGGGATTAAAGGCGTGCACCACCAGTCAGTTATACCATGAAGGAGAGTGAATACTCCCCCTCCCCTCAGGAGGTGCCCCTCCTCACCTGATATGATATATCAGTGCTGGGCCCAGAGGCTTGCCGCCCCAATCCCCACCATCCAGAGACTCCCAATGGCCTATTCCTCCCAGGAGGAACAGGGAAAGAGCCGGCATTTCCAGCATCCCCCCGCCCCAGCAGCCAAGGGTCTTTTGCACTGTTTCTGTGTTTGAGATTGGGTCTAACTGAGTAGCCCCAACTAGTCTTGAACTCGTGATGCTGCTTCTGTCACCATGCCTGGCTTGCTTCCTTTCACTGCTGATGAGGTAGACAAGGGGTGGCTTTCACAGCCTAGGATAACAAAGCTGGTAGAGGTGAAAGATCACCCACCTGCCTGCAGAGTGTGGCTTGCACACTTTTTGTGCTCCAGGATGCTACCAGGCACCTCATAACCCTTCATTTCATGTAAAACCTCAAAATAAACTTCAAGTCAGGTTTTGTGCCCCTATACTACAGGTAAGAAAACTGAGGCGGACACTGTTAAGGACAGCTGCTGGGACCGTGTTCCGTGCAGATCTGGCTGAGACCAGTCTAGATTTTAATACCAGCACTCAGGAGGCAGAGGCAGGCAGATCTTTGTGAGATTGAGGCCAGCCTGGTCTATAGAGTGAGTTCCAGGGTAGCCAGGACTACACAGAGAAACCCTGTCTCAAATAACAAACAAAAGAACAAGTCAGGAACTTTGAGTAAAGCATTACTCGTCTCATCCTACATGTGAAGGCTTTAAGAGAATGACTGGAAGACAGGACCCCACCTCCACTTTCTCCATACTTGAGCTGCTTCCGGGTGACATAGCCTGGCCTGCAGAATCAGGACTGGGGACCTATGACTGTGTGAGCCAACTCTTGAGAGAGACAGGGGAGGGGAGTAGGGAGGGAGAGAGGAGAGAGATGGGAAGAGGAGAGAGGGGAGGAGAGAGAAGAGAGGGAGGGAGAAGGGGGAAGGGGGAGAGAGGAAAATAAAATAAAACAAAATAAAATAACAGCACCTTTATTGGCTCTGTCTCTCTGGGAACCCTGACTAAGGCAGTCACAATGTGAGGATCAGAATAGGATCATGCAACTGCTGCAGCTGTGCATTTCTCCTGCAACCCACGGTCATGTTCCCTACGTCAAATGATAGCATTATCATGAAAAACAACACAGCAAGATTACCACTGAGGATGATAGGCAGTCATTCCTCGGATGTCTGAACTCTGTAAACACTAGCTCTGGCCAACTTTGAGTACAAGCTCAACAAACACACACTACTGACTTATCCCTGTGTTCTTATACGGTTGAAGGCTCTCCTGCACATCTCGCCTTGGGGGCTGGAAGCATGCTGTTGTCACAGCCATGAGGTGGCACATGGGCCAGCTTGGTTACTTACTGTAACCAATGGGCTGCCAGAGCCCATTATAGCTCTCACATCAGGGCAAGTTTTAAGAGAACCTGAGGCTGAGGTACTGGGCTCTTCCATTCTTTTATTTACTCATTTTTTTGCTCATATTTGTTGTTTTGTTTTGTTTTTGAGACAGGGTTTCTCTGGCTGTCCTGGAACTTGCTCTGTAGACCAGGCTGGCCTCCAACTCAGGGGTCTGTCTGCCTGTCTCTTGTGGGATTAAAGGTGTGTGCCACCACACCCAGCTACCTGGACAATTTGTTGATTATTGTCTCATTTACCTGGACTTTGGGCTCCTCTGGGTGTTCAGCCCCATCCACCGCTGCCTGGCTTGCTCTGGCACGAGGCCTGGCCCCGAACACGTGCCAAGGAAAGGAAGAACAGCAAGAGGACGCTGCTTTATCTACCTGCGCCTCTTGTGCGAGGGCTGGGCAGGAGAGGTGGGTGAGCACCAGCTTCCGGGGCCAGTTCCCCTGCCAGCAGGACCCTGGCCATGTACTTCCTTGTTGTGTGTGCCAGTGTGAAGCCTGTATTGCCTGCCTCATGGGGACAGGAGGGTCACAGGTGCTGGCTCAGAGCAGGGAACCTGAGTGTGAGCCTGCAGTGGCCACCTGGGTCCCGGCTCTGCTGTAGGTGGCCTCTCTGCCTTCCTGACAGGCTCTTACTACGCAGACCAGGCCGGCCTGGGCTCACAGAGCTCTGTCTGCTTCTGCCTCCCTGTGCTAGAATTAAAGGCATGCTCCACCATGCCTGGTCAATTTATCTATTTTAGCTTTTTAAGTTATAAAAGTCACACATGGTTGCTGAGAAAGACACACAGGGCAGGCTGTGTGTTAAAATGGATACTCCTCACCTCATTCAGGATTCTGAATCAACTCCTTTAGCCCTTTGGTTTGCATTGTCTGGCATCTTCTATTATAATAAGGTTTTCAGGCTTTGTGTTGACAGGGTGGCCTGGAACTTATGATTCTCCTACTCCTAAGTGCTGGGATGACAGAAGTGAGCCACCAAGCCTGGCTCTGCCTTACCCTTGGAGGGTGCTGAGCAGTGGTGGCACATGCCTTTAATCCCAGCACTCTGAAGGCAGAGGTAGGTGGAGCTCTGTGAGTTTTGAGGCCAGCTTGGTCTACCGAGTGAGTTCCAGAACAGCCAGGGCTACATAGAGAAACTTGTCTTGAAAAACAAAAACCAAAACAAAACAAAAATTTAGCACTGTGATGTATACTTTTAATCCCAGCACTCTGAAGGAAAAGGCAGGCAGATAGATCTCTGTGAGTTTGAGACCAGCCTGGTCTATGTAGAAGGCCTGGTCTCTCCAAAAAAAAAAAAAAAAAAAAAAAAAGCCCACACAGAAACCTCAAAACAGAAACCTCTCTCTTCATTACTTCTTACTAGTGTATGTGATCTGTGTGGGGATGTGTGCCACATACAGAGGGGAGCGGCCCTGCCCATCCTGGAACTCTCTCTGTAGACCAGGCTGACCTTGAACTCAGAAATCCGCCTGCCTCTGCCTCCCTAGTGCTGGAATTAAAGGCATGCGCCACCACCGCCTGGCTTACTTCATCCCGTTTGAGGGCTGCAGTGTTCCCCCAGGCTCTGGCAGGCCTTGCCTAAGAGGTTTTGCATGGGTGACATCCCATTTCTATGAGCTCTGCTGTGGTAAACAGATGGCTGGGTCACCATTGTGCTCATGGAGCGAGCAGGCACAGAGATACATTCCCAGAACCGAACTACAGGGCTAAAGGGACATAAAACTGCACTATTCTGTCACCATTGGCACCTGGAGGTCTCTTCCTCCAGCCAACAGCCCCACCCACAAAGCTGACATATGACAGCATTTTGAGTTACTGTCTGATCACTGCTCACCCTGGGAAACACTAGCCTCTGTTTCCTTTGCTCTGACTTCTCTGCTAGGGCTTGTCTCTAAGGTCAGTGGTTTTGACAGCTGTCATCAATTCAGTTACCCAGCCGCTTCTACTTTATCCATTTATCAAAAAACAGGACCAGACATGGTGCCTTGTGAGTCCTCATAATCAATGTCACTCCAGATGTTCCCACCACCCCTGTTCCTGTCCTCACCTGACTCTGCTCCATCCACTGCACTTTGGCTGGCACGTGAACATTACAACCCTAGTCATGCTTATGGTAGGAAATCCCAGGACAGGGCTCTTCCTACCTAGATCCAGATATGGGGGCAAAGTTGCCAGGGCAGGCAGCCAGGCCAGACCTCATGCCCCTGTCCTCCCTGTTCAAAACTTGTCCCCAGCACCTTCCTGACATCTGGCACACTGTCCCCAGTGTGTCCTGCCCTCTGACACTTTCTTATCTAGCATATACTCTCTCTTTGTCTCTTTCTCCAATTCCCCTCCAGGGTCTGTCTATATTCCTCTGATTGGCCTGGAGCTCACTATGTAGGTCAAACCGGCCTTGAACTCATACAGCTCCTCCTATCTCTCCCTCCTGAGTCCTGGGATTAATAGCATGCACCACCACCCCTGGGCCTCCTCTGGCTCTTTCCTGATTTAAAAGCAGCCGATGACAGCACTGAGTAAATTCTGACTCCTGGAAGCCATTCCTCTCTCCTGAGAACACTTGGGTCTCCAGGGCCATCACAGCCATTCCCTCTAACACACAAGAACACAGGCTACTCTGGGCCCCCACCTCACACCACAACAGGTGGGGTCACTCTGAGGATGTGGGTAGTTGAGCAGGACTACAGTGTCTTCCACACCACCACTCTGAGCTCTAAAGACAAAAAGCCTTGCTTTGTCTCTTTCAGGTGACAGGCTCATGGGTTTGACCCCTTAGTGGTCGCAAGCAGGCAAGGGCTGGTTCTACCCCACAGCAGCCCTGTGTTACTCCAGGCATAACTGTCACTTGTAGACACCAGAACCCAGAGTGGTGTGTCCAGCTGATACTAGCAGCAAGCCATGTCTTACGAAGCCCATCCCTCCGGACTGATAGGCTCTCTGTCTGACAGCAGGACCTGGGATCAGCAGGGTGCACTGCCCAAGGCCCTCAGAGGAGAGACTGGGGGGGGGGGAACAGGAGAGGGGCCTGAGCAAGCAGCGAGAGCTAGGGCCCAAGGGCACAGTGTGCAGGCTTGACACGTTGTCATAAGGACGAGGCAGATGTCACGGCTATGCTGACCACCAGAGAAGAATATCATCATTGCCACCAACAGAGGGTCAGTGAAATGACCCAGCAAGTGGAAAGAGCCAGCTGAAACCTGATGCTCAAAAGTGACCCAAGTCACAGTCACCTATTCAAACCACTTGGCGTTTATGTTCAATCCTGGAGAAGCATAGACTCAGTACCAGGTCTCCTGGGTTAAGCACGCCTCACATTCCTGGTGCAGCCGGTAGTAGAGTGCCTGCCAAGCACATACGAAGCTCTGGGGAGGGCTGTGCACAGGGGTCAGAGCCACTCGATGGATAGCAGTGACAAGATGATGATTACATGTCCTATACGCACCCTCCTATCTTCTATCTATTTCCAGAAAGGCTGTGACTTCCCAGGGACCCCTGGCTCACCAGTTGGTGATTGACAATGGCAGGACTCTGCCATTAGTTATATTACTCCACTTGTAAGTATCCCACCGCAGGCTGTTCACAGAAACCCAACCCGGACCCTTATGTGCCCCCCTCATCCTCCTCCACACCTGTGCAGCTGCTGGAAGGAAGCGAGTGCTCTGGTCCCCCGTTGAGCTCTGGGGATCCTTCAGTCGTGGCCACTTCCTCTTTCTCCTCTTCCCTGGCCTCAGGGGCCTCCTCCTGTGGCCGCTCCATGGCTGTCCCCCACTCGGCGTGGCGCCTGCAGGCCTGGTCATAGCTCTGGCACCATCTGGGTCTGAGCACAGATGGATCTCCTAGGCAGGGGGAGACAGAAGAGGTTAGGGGAGAGGCAGTTACTGCAGGGGAGAGGGTGGTGGGCACTGTCACACAGCTCAGTCCCTGAAGAACCTCCTGATTTTTTTGGAGACAGGGCTTTATGCAGCCCAGGATGGACTCAATTGGCGATGCAGCCAAAACATGACCCTCCGCCCGCCTCTCGAGTGCTGGGATACAGATGTGAGCTACCGCCTCCAGAGGTCTACACTTCTCACATTGCCAAGTCCTCCACCCTCCCATCAGTGCTCATCTGGCTCTCAGGGCAGGTTGGCAGGATAGAGTAGTTTTCATTAACTAGATATGGTGACCCTGCTGCACCATCTTCATCTGCTCCATGAGCAATCCTAAATTGCCTGAGCAGCTGCAGAATGATCAAAGCTCTCCAATGCCTCCTGGAGGTACCAGTACACATCACAGCCCCCACCACCCAGCACTGTCGCTAAGAACGTGGCTGCCCAGAGCCACTGTTCTGAGGGGCATCCAGTCCTGCCTGTGGCCACTGTGGGAAGCAGCTTGGACTTGTGTATGTGTGTGTGCATTATTTATTCATTTGTCTTGTGAAATAGGTATCTTTATGTAGCCCTGGCTGATCTACAATAGTCCCTTTGTAGACTAGGCTGGTTTAGAATTTAAAAAGATCTGCCTGCCTCTGCCCCCTAAGCACGGGATTAACGGCATTCACCACACCCCTGTAGCTGTGAAGTGCAAGCAAGTTTGCCTGACAACTAGTGTTGCCCAGCAAAGCACCTGAATACCCCATGTTCTTCCTTCCTCACACTTAGCCCCATCTAATCATCCCGAGGTCTTCCCCTGCCTGGACTACACAGCAGCATCTCAGAGGCTAAACAGGCAGCCGGATATGCAGCCCGGAAGGAAGTCTAAGCGGTAGGAAGCTAGAAGTTGGAAATCTGTGGCTCTGGAAGATTCCCAGTAAGTGACAGTGACAGGAAGGATGTGACTATCTCATCACAGCATGCACAAGTTCACACACATGTGTGAGCATGCACACACACACACACACACACATCAAATCAAGAGGAAACTTTGAAGTTTTCGGTCAGTTGTGAGAACAATTGGGAAGGCACATACATGGAAGTTGGCCCCACATCTACACTAAGACCAAGTACAAATGCACCAGAGACTCAAAGTTAAGTTAAAGCAAGGATATGCAAACCAGAGCAGGGGATGTAGCTCAGTGGGGAGCCTCTGGGTTTGATCCTCAGCAGATGGTGGTGCACATCTGTAATCCTAGCACTCAGGAGGTAGAAATAGGAGGGTCAGAAGCGCACGGTTATCCCCAGCTACAGAGTTTAAGGCCAGCCTGGGCTACAGGAAATCCTGCCAAAACAACAAAAACCCTCACAAAGTACAAGAAACAACGTGCTGACATAAAACTCATCTCATAGTAAGATTAGGCCCTGATAATAAACCCATAAAAGCCTTGTGGGTGACAAGATTACAGGTTAAAGATTAACAAATTTCATTGTATAAAAGTATAAAAGTTCTACATAGTTAGAGGTAATTTAAGGAAAAACAAATTAAAGGCAAATCCTGGCTCTGTTTGTAGCTTGATTGCCTCTTGAGCACTCAAGGGTCCTGGTTTGGTCCTCAGCACTGCATAGACCAGCTTGTACTCTGGGGCAGAGGACAGAGGATCAAAAGTTCCATGGTTTGAAGCCAGCTTAGGCAACATGAGACACTGCCTTAAAAACCAAACTCAATCAATCAATCAATCAATCAATCAATCAGACAATAAATATAGAAATACTTTCAACTTTTATCCAAGTGCTCAATTCCTAAGTAAAGACTAGTAATCTAAACCAGGCATGATGGCCATGCCTCTAACCACAACACAAGAGGGTAGCCTTGTCTACATAGGAGTTCTAAGGCAAGGAGAGCTACATAATTAAAGGCGTGCACCACCACACCCGGCCCTGAGATGTCTTTCAAAAAAGCATGAGTGGGTGTGGGCTCATGGTGGACACTGGACAGCACATGTGAAGTGCTGGGCTTGATCCTAGGTGCTGAGAAGCAACAAAAATACACCCCCCAGGCCAGAAGGCATGCTGCAGACAATGTTATTGAGCATGAGTAGGTGATATGGCATGGCCTCCATGGCGGGCAACTGGACCCATCTATTACTAATTCCACTGGGCAAGAATAAGATCATTACCATAATTTTTGAGCCAAATTTGAAGTAAGTCTTATTAAATATTTGTTGGCCAAGTCCATGGACACTGGCCCTCACATTATATAAGGACAAGTGCATACATTTGACCCAGAGGCCCTACTTGTAAGCTGTGTCTATGGTTATACTCCACCATAAGTGGAGTGATGGAATGCTAGTACAAGGTTATCCTTCCATGATCTGATTGAGTGGGGGCAGGTTAAGAGGGCTCTGATAGCCACAGACAGAATGGCTAAGGACTGACACGGAAGCATCCACTATAAAAAACAATCCACAACTCACGGGACAGACCTGGCCAGAATGGGCTAAGGGGAGGGGAAGGCCAGCCCGAACAGCTATCCATCCTGACCTCCCACCCCCACTTCCTAGCCACCAAGATGTGAACTGTGCCTCCCCACCACCAAGGAACAAACCCTGTGAAACTGTGAGCCAAAATAAGGAACCCCCCCTTTCACATGTTCTCTTGAATAGTTTGGTCATAAATACAGACAGAAAGCTAGTAACACAGTTACCTTTTCTATAAATAGAATCAGGATAAAATAAAAAGACAAAACTAATAGTAATGTGAGAGACGGTCCCCTGCCGTGATGGTGGTGGCTGGGGGGGGGGTGACTCACATGCCAGGGGCTGCCAGGCCCCTTCCTCAAGCCCTATCTTAGATGGGCTTCTCACTATGCCCTTCACCATGGCTCCAGCTCCCACACTTACTGACCGTACCTAACCTTATTAACTCTGTCACAACTACCCCAAGACAGAAGAGGACACAGGGAGAGCATACACACAGAGGCAAAGGGGGGGAGGGGGAGAGGGAGGGGAGAGGAAGGGGGAGAGAGGGGGAGGGGGAAGGGGAGGAGAGAGAGGGGAGGGGGAGGGGGAAGGGGGAAGAGAGAGAGGAGGGGGGAGGGGGAGGAACTATGTCAGCGGCACACAATGACTACAGGGACACAGGTGGTGTCTGGGCAGGTAAGCTCACGCATTAGTCACTGTACCATGTGCCTTCCATGCACTGCAGGGTCAAGAATGCACCAGAAGCCAGTATCTCCTTGGCCTAGGGCGGGATCTGAGTCAGAAACCCTCCCCACTGACCCCTGTGTGGCTGCAAGCCCCTTGGCTTATTCTGTCAGAAGAGCCTGCACAGCCCTCCTGGCTACTCCAGCCACAAAACTACCAAATCATAGCTGAAGGTGGCTGCAGCTGGTCCCTGCATCTCTCCTTAGCCCCATCTTCCTGCCATGTCCTGTGTCCCCCTTGTGCCACCATCACACTGAGGCCACAGAGGCTGAGGCTTGCACTCAAGTATTGGCTCTCCCTGGAGGATCACTGGCTCTCTGGCTCTCACTGGCTGTCCTTCCAGACTAACCCACAGCTCCTTCCAGGAAGCCCTCCTGGGCTATACACTCTACTCCACTCCACTTATCTCAATCCTGACTCCAATCTGCAAGGTTCACTGGCTGCTCTGGGCTCTCCGCACCCTCATACCCCAGGAATGTCCTCTGCTCTGCTGAGGTGGGGTGCCGGGGGCTGGCACAGTGCCTTTCAATGAGTGTTCAACAGGCACTTGGTGAATGAGTAAGCACACTGACAGCCTTGGCCTGCAGCACTTGCTTGCCAAGGGATCAGTTTCCTTATGTCTCTGACATTCGTATCTGCCCTGTGGAAGTCAGCCCCCCCCAACCCATGAAGCAGGAGACAGCTGAGGAAGATGTGCAGCCCAAGGCCACCTACTGGGACTGTGGCTGCTGTGAGCATCACTGCTGAGGGACACTCAGCAGAGCGAGGTGACTGGTTTAAATGTGTGCAAGCACTGGGACTCCAGGACCTCCACAGGTCTCCCCACTTACCTCCCATACGCCATAGGAGACCTGCAGGGTGCTCTGCCCCGAATACTGCAAAGAAATGCAAAGGGAAAACGGAAGGAAAGTGCCCTGGATGGCTGTGTCTCGAGCCTTCCAATCAATCAGTAATCTGTGTGCTGACCCAGTGACCCAGTTTTTTGGGCCAGCAACTCCGCAGAATTCACTGTTCCCCACTTGCCAATTCAGGTCACCCCATCTCTTCAGGGCACCCAGAGGCCAGGGTGGACTCACCCTGGTGGGTACCTGAGGTCAATCCCTAAAAACACCAGCGAGAGCAGGGAGCAGACAAGACAGTGGGCAGGGACCGCCCCTTGTGTTTCTAGTTCTTACCTGGGTCTCCAGAAAAAGCTTAGATGGAAAAAAAAAAAAAAAAAAAAAAAAAAAAAGGCTCTGGTAACCAGAGAATGTTCTGGAGAAAAGAGCAGAGGGAAGGGAGCTCATGACTGAGTTGGGAAACAGGAAGTGAGGGGCCTCGGGTGGGCTGCCCAGCTGCCAGCAGCAGGGAGCAGGGAGAGGCTGGCCTTGAACTCACAGGGACCTATTTGCCTCTTCCTCCTAAGTGCTAGGGCTAAAAGGTGTATGCTACCACACTGGTCTTATTTTCTTAATTATATTCTTATGTTTAAGTTTCCTTGGGGGAGCATAGGGTAGTTTTATGCTGTGTGAAAAGGGGAAGACATCTTTAAAGCTGTGTTGACTAAAGAACGCTGAGTAATCTGTTGGAGGGCACCGCTGAGCTACCTGGAAGGCCTGCCAGGGTCTGGAAAGATGAGGGACCCTTCTAACAATGGTTCTAAGCAAAGGCCTTCAGCATTCAGGGAGCTCCTGACCAAGTGGCTCTGCTGCCAGGCAGAGGACCTCTCCAGAACCCTTCTTACCAGGACCTTGGAGCTATGTTTGCCAAGGCCCTCCCTGTACCTCTGCCCTCCCTCTC